AAAAAAAATGCACAGATGTGACCCGTCATACTGTTAGAAGCGTCCTGACCTGTGCGAGTTGGTCAATTGAGCTCTGCAGCAGAAGAGCTGCGTCCTGAGCCTCGTCCCGCTCCCTGCGGAGAGCGCTCAGCTCCTGCTCCATCGCCGACATCCGAGACTGAGCCTCCTCCACAGTCTGCTGCAGCTGCAGAAGAGAGAAGATGCGGTTGCTTACCAAAGGTAATGGCCTCAGACAGTGTTTCTGCTGGGTGAGACAAAGACGTAGCTCTAGATCACCATTTCCATTCTGTGCTGTTGCTCCGTGAGTTGCTGGAATTGGGATTTTTTACACTTGTCCAAAGACTGCTGGTACTCTCTTTGTTTTTTGGTCATCAGTGACTGGTAATGCTGAAGGGTGCTGCTTTTCTCCTGTTATTACCAAAAAATGTAAATCACATGAAGTCGATTAGACAATTGAAGAATATAAACAGTGTTTACAACAGTCACTGCTGTCTAAATTATTAAGGGAATGCAATGTATGGGTGTGTGGGATAGTTGATTAGCAGTGTTTTGGAAATGAAATACTGATATCAAGTTTATAATACTGCTGTAATAAGGTTGTCTAAACCAGTGGTCCCCCAACCACCGGGCCGCTACTGGTCCGTTTGGTACCGGGCCGCACCACAGAAAGCATATATTTATTTTCTTTTCTGAAAAATGTTTTATTTTGAAAATTGACCGGCTTTTCTACTAAGTATGTGCGCTCGTCCCTCTGACATATTCCCCACGCGTCACAAGGCGTTTTTCTTCACGTTTACAATTGTCCTCCTACCGCACCGCAGTTTCCCCCACCAGCGAACACAGAGCGCGTGACTACTACACCCCCCGTCGGTCGCTCCGCCCGCAACGACTACTACCCCTCCCGTTATTCCGCCGGACCTTCTCGACCGGTCCGCGAAATATTGTCTGACATGAAAACTGTCTGTGAGGTAAAAAAGGTTGGGGACCACTGGTCTAAACCATCTAGTCGGACTTTCCATTTATTTTTGTTCTCGCTTTGTCTTCCCTGTTTATATAAAATAGGGAGCTGGATTTTATTATTATTAATAATAATAATAATAATAATAATCACCCGATTTTACAACTATAGCTATAGTTTTAAGACTTTTTACCTCCACCACCAGTATAATGGTGTAGGGAAAATCTAATATCGCAATAGCTCAAGTGTGGGTGTTGTGTACCAGGAGCTGATTCTCCAGCTCAGTGTTCGTCAGTGCTGCCTGACTGTAGGCCGAGCTTTTCTCCTGTAACTGCTTCTCCAGCGAAGCCACGCGAGCACTTTTTCGTTTCAACTGTGAAAAGTGAAACAGAGACACAAAAATGTCAAATAAGTAAGGAAAGATGATTAGCCCTCAACCTTGGTAAAGACAAATACTATAAAAATCATATTTAACACATAATATTATAAATGACATATAGTGAAGTAAACCCATGACCACAGAACTCTTACATTAAAAAAATGTATTAAAAAAACAGTACAGTTGACCGATTCATTTACTAAATCGGGTTGTGCGAATGTAAAAAAATTAAAGTTTTAAAAAAAAAGTAAGAAGTGATGAAAGGGGCCTGAAACATTACTTCTTTCTCTGTGTCTGTGGCTTGGCTGACTTTGTCCAGCAGCTCTGTGTGGAGGCTCTGATAGTGGGAGGCTCTCTGGCTCATGGAGCTCTGCAGCGAGGAGATCTCCTCCTGAGTTCTGCTCAAACGCTCCTGAAGACGCTGGACCAGGCCGTCCTGTTTGGTCCGCTCAGTCTCCATCGACTGGAGCACCCGCAGCAGCTGCTGGTAGCCTTCCCCTGCAAGGTCGAGCGACGTAAAGAGAGATATTACATTGTACAATAGAGAAAAGTATGCACTTTATGGTTCATTTCATTCATTCATTCAAGGGGCATTTTATACTTTGCTCTATCAATAAATAAATCACTCTGTTGCAGAATGCATGCATTGTATTTGTTATTTGCTTATTATCGGTGATAAAATCAAATCCATCCATTCATATGTGGTTTATTTTCTTTCACCGTAAGCGCAAAAAACACAATTCTCTCATTCTAACTATAATCAATTCTAACAATCCAAATAAAAGCAAAAAGAAAGCAGGGCAAAAAACAAGTGTCAACAACATAATTCAAAAGAAATCCTTAAGGGGTAGAAAACTTATTAGACGTAGATTACACCGAATAGGATCAGGAGACGTTGGTCAGCACACCTGGCTTTAGTTTTAGTAGGTGTGCCGTTCCTAAATAGTTGACTGGGGGAAACATGCAGGGCCTGACGCAGAGTGTCCCCACAGCACCCTGAAAGGAAAAACAACGGTGAAGATACCATCGCCTGCGCAAGATCGGAGATAAATACGTAAACTTGTTTTGGAGAATGACAGCTACTCCACCTCTCGTAGGTGAAGCAGGGACAGTATGGCCTCCAGGCTGGCGAGCTCCGCCCGGCTCTGCTCAGCCTCTCCGTGGCTCTGGGACACTTTCTGCTCTTGACTACGGGTCAGCGTGCGCAAGTTCTCCAGCTCCTTTCGCAGAGAAGCCAGCTCCCCGAACGCTGCGCCGCGCTCCATAAGCTGTCGTTCAAGATGAACAATCTTTAGTCCGGCTTCCTCCAGTTGAGCCTGGAGACCAGCAGCACACTTGACCTCCTCCTTCATCTGGCTGGGAGGCAGAGGGGAAGACATCGGAAACCCTCAGATTTATTTCTGTTCCTACACAGAAAACAAGGTACAAGTACAATTGACGATGGACAACTTATCCCACATACCTAATTGTTTGGCTCTGCTCAACCTTCCCTCTCTCCAGCTCTGTGCACTTCATTTGCAAAGCTTCTTTTTCTCTGTCACAGTCAACAAGACTCTCTTTAAGTTTGCTCTCACTCTCCATCACCTTAAAAACACATTTAAAAGCATGTTTCGAGGGCAAGAAAGTGCAACTAAGGAGTTATTACAAAATGTAAATACCTGAATAATTAACTCATTCAAGTCAAACATACCCTTGTGAGTTTAATAGAAATAGTAGCCCTATATTCTTTGAAGGCTTCTTTGAGTTTCTCTGCATTTTGCAGTGCTTGGTTTCTTTGTTGCTCAGCCCTGTGAGGGAGGAAGTAGAACATAACAAAAATGAAAGCATATGATGGCTTTTTTGAACTCAAGGTCAATGAAATATGGATGTACAAAGGACACGGTAGCAGATCAAATTCATAATCAATTGTAACGGTTACCAAAAACGTTAAATGCCCCACCGTTTGCACCGGGCCGCGTTGTTCTCCAACTCTTCCCTGAGCGCGCTCAGCTCCTCGGTGAGAGTCGCCACCAAAATGTCCCCGTGAGCTGCTGCTTCCTGCCTGCAATCCGCCCTCAGCTCTGCCGTCCTGGTGGGGACAGTTACTTATGACATTAACGCTCAGGGTCAAACAGACGTTAGTCCAAACAGTCTCCCAAGTTCCATGAATATCAGAATCTACAGCAGTCGGTGTGGAGATCACAAGGGTTACTTTAGTTCAGTGGCTTGAGTCTCCAGCTTTGTTTGAAGCTGACGAATCTGCTCACTCATGAGTGCCACCCCGTTTTTCCCCCCTATCATGGAGCCTTGGATGTGGACCTAAAAAAAACATAACACATACAGATTATTTATCCACTACAGACTATTTGGTCTCCACAAAACACTGAGGAAGAAATGTTTGCGCTGCACTCATTTGTAGTCGAAACACAAGATACACTGGTTGAAGATTACAGCACCTTTATTCACCCAAATCAGTCGTGCTGGGATGACGGTCATACCTGCGATTTAGAAGTGTTCAATCCATAGTGCATTGCATCCAGGTTGCCGATAAGCTGCTCATCCTGGATGGTCAGACAGGCGTTCTCCTGACGCACACAGCAACCTTTCCTCCTCGAAGAATAGGACTCCATCATGGATGACCTGGGCTTCAATGGGGCAGGCTGAATAGGAAGGGAGAACGCAGATGTGAATGAGAGGTCTTTGAATGTGAGTGGCTTGTTTATTCACCTTTTGGTTATCAGGTACATTTTTACAGATGACCCACACAAACACCCAGTGTAAATACACAACAACCTGCAGATGTGGTTTGATTTATTTACCCACAATTGTTTTTCACATCTGTAATCATGTCCAACTGACTGAGCATAGATCGGGTTCATGAACACATACTGGAGGTAAACTTTAGAGGAGGATAAGGGAACAACCACAATAAGTGGTGTAGCTGCTCACAGTATGACGGTCACTCATTACGCTGCGCTCACCTCAGATTGCGTCCCACACTTTGCAGGCTGAGCTCCGTCAATCGAAGCGGAGTCCTCGAACTGACCGCATCTTCGGTTAATCGGCCCTCGCTGTCAAACATCAGCGTAATGACGAGTAACGCTCGTAGTTGACTTCGGTGTCTTTAACGTTACTTGTTCAGGGTCAACATCCAGTCACTTAAGCAACACGTGCAAATGTTCGGAAATGTAACGACCACAAACAACTAACAGCTCAACATTACACCCTTACGGTTTAAACATCGAACATTAGCCAACGTTAAGTTAGTAGAGCAAAACCAGTAGCAGCTAGCTTAGCCACGCTAAACGTAAACAATGAGGTTCGCTGATAATCCAACAGGTCGGTTCACATTATCGTTGTAATGCAAATCAAATCTACCAAACCGCCGCGCCGGCAACGAAAGAAGTATTACGGTGTTCTTGTCTTAGTGCTATGAAGCACACCTATGCATCTAAAACTTAAATCGGTTAGCGGTGTTGTGGGCAAAGTTGTCAGAACGTTTGTATTTGTAGGCCCCGCCTACATCCCAACGCCGTGTTTCGTGATTGGATACACTGAAGCTATGCACGATATGATTGGCGGACGTTGTCAGTGACATGAGCGACAACCGTCGCTTTGGTTGAGGAGCATCTTGTGTTAGAAAGTCAACGACAGGAAGCAATTTAACATCAAATACGCAACGCATTAGTTCAAAATATCGACTTTTATTGATCCCCTAACTAAACAGACTCAGGAGCAAAACACGTCAACCTATGTAATGATGTATAAAACCGTATTATATGAATCTCAATGGACAAAGCAGACGTTACATGTGTGTTCTTTGGCTAGGTGAGACACTGGCTCACCACGCAGGAGCTTTACACCATCTGCACAATGAAGAGGTTTCAGTTTCAAAAAGCTGTCAGTTCCAACAAAAAAATATAGAAAACATCTGTAAAAAAGAGACAGCTGAACTGAATGATTGACCTCATGCAATGAAATACAGCATTTTTAGTTTTCCAGTGACTGCATTTGACTCAGATTTAATCAGCAAGTGTGGCAGAAAAAAAATGAGCTACTGGTTATTTTGCTCATAGTAAAAAGAAGCTTACATACAATCCAAAGTGAAATTGAACACCCAATATCAAAATACTGACCAACAACAATGAGTGAATAACTTATATCTAAATCTCCTGCAAAAGCTGTAAATGCAGGCTGGTGAAATACAGTGACTTTTTTTTAACATATCCTGAGTTAGTAGACTACAACATACATGACCGTAAAAGGAAAGATTCAAGTGCATTTTTGCACTGCTCACACAAAGAATTTAAGAGTCAAATAAAAATTCTCAAGCTCCCCTTTATCAAGTTGTATGTTCAATTACGACTGAACAGGGTTGTCATGGACTAGCATGCATAGGAAGAACAAAAACAAAAAACCTGAACATACGTATAAAACCTGGGTAAAGAAACTTATGCAGCGCTTTCCCCCCCCAGAAAAAATAGGTCCATAAAAATTTCAGTCACTTAGGTAATTTTAATTAATTCCAAATAACTTATAACTTTTTTTTTTTTTTTTTTTAAAAGGTTAAATAATTTTGACAAAGGCGGTTGACACATTTTGAAAAAAATATATCTCTGCTATGAAAATGTCTGACCGGTCCTCTTGTTTTCAGCTTCTAAAGAGTTGTACATTTGGAGGTAATTTATCAGAATCCAACATTTAAAGCTATGACTAAAGCAAAAAGAGGTTTAAAAAATACTTTACCATCAAAATGCTGCCATGTAGTCTTAAGAATTTCAAACTATCTGATCAAAAAGTAAAATTTGATATGCATAATAAACAAATGCTTAAACAGAAACAAAAGGACTTATTGGGTAAAGTAATAAAATGTAGTAGAATTTTATGTTAAACGAAAAACCTGCAGCAGCACCTTATTTTTTAGTTCAACAGAAGGATCTCAGCCAAAGAAAACAAGATTTACTCGTAGCTGGGACACAATTGTAAATAAACACATATATATGTAGAAAAACTTAGGTAATTGGCCATTGCAGTAGTTAAATCCATTTCTTTTCAAAGTGTCCCTCTCGCTTATCCGCCAAGATTTAACATTTAATGTGCGACCAACCACATTCTTTCAAAAAGAATAAAATACAGTTTTATACTTAACTGGTCTGGAAATTACAAGCATATTACTGGATAAAAATGAAGTACATAGTGGTTCACTGCGAGCCTACAGATGCAGTGTGTGGGTTTGCTGTAAACATTCAAAGAAAATAATGAAAGTAAAAAGCAGAATAGCACAAATATGGTGTGGTATTATAACAATGCCTCGTCTTGATCAAAGAAAAGGCATTGAAATCTTTAGAACGCATGATGAAAAAACATGTTTAAATGTGCACTGAACCAGTAGGCTTTTCAGTAAAGCTTAGCATGAAAATGTTGCTCTTGTTCAAAACTCAACAAAAAAAGAAAAAAGCATATAACAATTAATGCTCTGAATACAGGCTGTGAACACATGTCCTTAGCGCAGCCAGAAACGTCTTGCGGGCGCTAGTTAAAAAGTTAGAAGTCACGCAGACAATGACAAACTTAGGAGGCAGTGACTCCCTCCCACTCCACCAGGTACTGCACCTTGCCGTCGAGAGTGACCCGTCGCGCCAGAACTTTGTACTTTTCCCCGCAAGCCAGTCGCCCGGCTGCTCCAAAATAGCTGCTGATGGAGCTCTTGAGGTGGGAGAGTTGGCTGTTGGGGTCCATGCCGTGAACTATATCGGCGGAGTGAAGTCTTGGGAGGGGGCTCATCATCTCCGTAGCCGAGGGGTTTGGGTCTGCATGGCTAGGAGGGAGGATCTCTGGGCGGGGGGGCTGCGGGGCCCGTCGTGGGCGCCCACGTTTCCTCTTCAAGAGTGGAGCGGAAACCGGCATGATGCAGGCTGTCGTTCGTGTCTTGCTGGAGCTGCAGCTAGTGCGTTTGATAGGAAAAGAAGTAAAAAAAAAAAAAAAATACACATATTTTAATTCGGAGAGTAACAAAAAAGACAAAAATTGAAATTTGGAAAAACAAAGACGAGACTAAGGACTAAAAGGGCAGCACTGGAGCACAAATGGCTCCGTGATGAATGCTAATAGGACGTTAACATGCACACAGACACAATGGAAATGTCCTGATCTCAAGCAGATGGTGTTCACCATGGTCAAAATCTTATGTTAGCATGAATAATGCATGAAACACAAAATGCAGCAGAGTCAGATGAGACAAAAAGGTAAGTAATTCTAAATCATTGGACCAGAAGAAATTATTTCTTATTAGCGCCAGCCACAATAAATGTGTGTACTAAATCTCTGCAGCCATTCATTTTTCAATAGCGGTGGAATTTGCTATCTGGACTCAAGTTGCGGCTCAACCACGGATAGAGCCCTCCATACCGCTCTTTAATGTGTTAACCGTTGCGGTTGAATAGCAGGCATACCTGGACGGTCTTGAAATGCTAGTTGAGGTAGTTTCTGTGGTGCTCAGGGCTCCTATAGATTCCACATCTGAAGTAGACAGCTGAGGTCGCTCCCTCCTGGTGAAAGTAAATTAAAATAAATACAACAAGAAAAAGCTGCTGAAAGTTAATTACAGCTAGCAAGTTAAGTCAATCGGGAGAAAGTATTTATTCAGCAGTGTATAGTAAGGATTTGATTATTTTCTCTTCATTACCTCAAAGTAGATTACACATTTGAGTCTTAAGGCAAACAAGCAAACTTTGTAGGAGGCCACGGACTCTTGGTAGGAATTGTAGATAAAAGACATTTATTGCTGCCATAAGAGTACAGTAGCTTCACCCCTACACAATGGAACACAAGTGTTCAGGAATATAAATTGTGCACTACAAAAGCTCACTTACTTGGCAGCGGTTAAGTGATCCAATGTGTTGGGCTCCAGTGGCAGAGGCCTCCTTAAATTCTGTCAAACACGGGAAAACAGTAGTTATATATATATATATATCAGCGAGTTTCCTTTTAACCTTACCTTTACAGAGTAATGTAGAGAATACCCACCCCCTCCACAACTACAGACAGCCCACGCCCACTAAAACAAACACACACCCACAACCAAGCACCTGGGATAAGCGTTCACTGCATTGTGGTTTAGCCAGAGTCTCCAGAGAACGTGCTCCTTGCTTCCTCTTTTTCTTCTTCTCTGTGCCATTGGTTAAAGACCTGAAAACATGAGCGCAACGATAACATGCCACCGCAGTTCCACAAGTTGGGACAGGTGTGCATTAATAACCGTAATTTGTAACACACAAAACAACACTTTCTCTTTATGTGCAGTTAGTCCACCATGAGCATTTCGTATTCAAGAGCGTGTAATGATAGACAGAGCTCTGGCACCCAAAATTGAAAACAAAAAACATTTGACTGCAGCACTTTTAGATTTAAGTTTTCCAATCGTACATCATGCCAGGTGGGGTCTTGGTGGACTTGCACCCCTTGATGTTTATCTCATGTGAAGTCCTGTCCATTCCTCTGCCGGATGGCTCATGAGAGTTTGGTGGAGCAGGAGGGAAACGAATCCTCAGGCTAAACAAGTGTTTCTTTTTCTTAACCTCTTTCCCCGACTTGAATCTAGAAGGACCGTACGAAAAAAGGGAGAAAAAAGGACTTAGGAAAAAGACAACTGTGTTTTAAGCTATCAACATGGACGATTATGCAGAAACAAAACAGCTTACATGCTACTGTTGTTGTTCAGTGCCTCCAGAACCCTCCCATAACGCTGGGATCTGGGAGTGTTACCGAGCTGCAGACACGGATGGCAAGTAGGAAATGCAGGGTGAGAACAAAAGGTAAATGTAAAATAATTTTAAAAAATACATGGTTTCAAACCTAAATATGTTAAAATAAAATGTTAGCAGTTAGCAAATAAATAGTTTGATATATTTAGTTTGACATGTTGGGCGAGTTCTTTGACGTGCCAGTGGTACCCAGTTAGCCTCATAAGTACGTCTGCAACAACGTACGGCATTAACGTGCGCCGTGATCAGTGGGGCAGCCGGATTGTTGTCAAACAGAAAGCTAGCTGGCAGATTTAATTAAGAGTTTAGCAGGAACTTTGTAAATAGTAAACAACATTTGGTAACAGAACTGCTTTAGTGTTTTTAAATCTGCAGTAGCATGTTCATTTATTTATCTTATTAGTAGGTAGTTAATATTGCCCCCCATGATGTAAATAATACTTGAAAGGGCTTTACTACTTTTGGTGGATTGTCATGTCATGCTTTGTTGTAAATAAATGTGACTGGTTCTTGTTCTTAGAGTTGTGAAATCTAGGTTATTCAACTGTAAGACGACACACAAGACCCAGGCAGAAAATGCAAGGTCCCCCACTGGTCTCACGTAACTTGATAGGTAGTGTCCATACCTCCCCCAGCTGCAGCAGCTCCCAGTTATCATTGATGTAAGACATCAGAAGCATCTCTGAATCAAAGTACATCTTCTTGTGGATCACACTCAAGTTGTACAGACTCAGGTGTGTGACATTTTCCCTGAAACATTTTAGTAAAAGTTGTGTTTTATTCACTTGGTCTGGTTCCAAAAAAAACTTCAAATGTTGAGAAAAAGCAGCAATGGAGAAGAGCTGAAGTTTAGAAACAAGATATTGAGAGAACGGAATTAATTAAAGACCTGTTTCATTTGCTGCAAGAGGGCGCATTGTATTTCACAGACTATCTGAGACAAACGTACATCTCGCACTTCACTTACCATGTGAGAGGCAGTCGGCTGAGGTACTCTGGTCCTCCATTGCAAACGGAACAAATAAACAGATAAAACCTGAAGTTATAAACAAAAAAAACATGTCAGATTAGAACGCTGCAAAATGATTTGGTGAACACAAGACAGGGCCTGTTGCTTTATGGTTTGTGAAAGTACATTTCACAAAGTTACACGATCACTAACAGACAATCTGTCCCGATATATAAAAACAAGGATAGAATAATTTCCATTGAATTAATTTCCTACTGTAGACTACCTCTGAGTGTATAGAGCATTTCTTTAAAAGGTTGATCAGAGTAATTTAAAACTTTAATACAGTTTGTATCACCAGTAAGAATATATAACAAACATTGTGCTATTTGCACCTGTCTCCGTAGAACATGGGTATCTGTAAGCAATGGAGACACGCCTCATGGAACCACTGCAGACACCCGTTACACTGCAGCATCTTCAGGTACCAACTTCAAGGACAGAGAAAAGGTTGTTAGCCGACCGGGACAACGAGGTACATGGAAAGATGTACTTGGAGATAGATTTATCTATATAAAAACATGGGTGTGTAGGAAGTTGTTTATCAAACGTATGCAACGTGTAACTCACTCTCCTGGACCTCCACAGTAGCAGTAGCACTGCTGGATGTTAGTCTCGTGGGCTTGGTCCCAAACCAGCTCGTCCAGAGCGTATGGGAGCGAGAGGTGTAGTCCGGTGTGCTTCTCCTGCAGCTCCTGCTCCACAAAGCCCTGAGCGGACGCTCCCCTCATGTTTGCAGCCTCCCTCTGTACACCAGACAGACAATCCATATGACAAATCACAACAAATAATGCACCTCACAAGGCGGCTGTCACGTATATAAATAATAAACAACTTGTGCATTCAACTAAAATCTTACTCAAATCAAAACAGAAGCTGTACCTTAGGTCTACAAGTGAGCTCACAATCTGAGCAGAGCCACTTGTCATCCGAGTCAATGACAGAGGCATCGATGGTGGGGGAGTGGCAAAGCTGATGGTAGCCTAAAAGAAATATTGAAAACATTTATATATAGCTGCTAGTCACTAATCCTCTTTTAAAAAAAGTTAATATAATTCAATGACCACAGATTAGAGGTAAATGGGTCGTACCTGCAAACTCATAAAGGGGTGAAAAGGGGGGCGTGCCCTATAGGACTTCATTGCCCAATTTGCATGATCGCAATGAACGCCGTAGGATCAGCGGCTTTGCGCATGCACAATTCATTCAGACATTGGAGAAAAGTCTCTAATAACACCAGGAGAAGGCGCTAGATTTGTTGTCAGTTTTGACAAAAAACAGTCACCGAAAGAATTTGGCGAGAATGTCCCAAAGTTGGCAATACCGAGTGAAAGGATGAAAACTTGGGAAGGGGAAATGAAGACGCTGTAGCTATCACAACGCTGATTGGCCAAGCCTCGTCACAGCAAGGACGTTTTATTTATTTCAAAGATCACGACATCTGGCCAGTTCACCGCCCCAAATTAAAAACTCTGGCCTATTCGGATTTCAAAACGGCAGCTTTCGCCAAAAAGCGACAAGTTTGCAGGTATGAAATAGGTAAATCAACAAAGAATGGCTGAGTTAGGAAACTTGTTTAAAAAATTGGACACAAAATAACTGCTTTGTTGAGTGTAAGGCGTCAGACGATGGGCAGTACCTTTTCCACACTTGTCACAAATGACTATTTCATTGGGTTCATCTGAGGTTTCATCTTGGCATATGGAGCACACAATGTCGTCATCATCTTCATTATCCTCTTCATCATCTTCATCTCCTGAAATGGACAAAAGGCTAGTTGTGACAGAATGAAGGCTTAGAGCACCTCATGGCGTTTCAGTCGGTCAAAAGCGGACATCAACAATTGAAAGTAGCTCGAACTGTAATTTATCCATATTAATCCGAGCACTGTTTCTTTAGACAGTTACATCTGCAACTTTAACCTAGTGATGTCAGTGTGTAATGCACTACCATTTTATTTCAGCAAGATGAGAACTTCAACCACTGGAGATCAGCAGAAAACCATGCTTTTAACCGTCGCTAATGTTTAAAAATCAGCCTTACAACAGAGCATGCATGCAGCTTTGCAGAAACATGTGAATCAGCTCGATATGGAAATAGTAGAGAGACAAAGATGAATATACAAATGGTGGATATTTCACAAAAAATATAAAATATGATTTATTTAATCCATCAGTAATATATAAAAACAAATTTTTGAGCCATATTTGCACTTTAACAGACTGATCCTCAACATGCCTCACAATGTGGGTGAGGATCTTGTGCTGTAATGATTAATGCCAGACATTGGACGGTTGACTGCCAGCCACAAGATAAGGGGCGATAAGTAATGCAGTACAATACTAATCCAAAAAAAAGCAATGAAACTATGACGCAATGAAACTCAGACTGAGTATAAAGTGTGGAAGCTACCAGGCAATCAAATAGCACGTCTCTCTGAATACCGTGAGATGGTAGAGAATGCACAGATAAAAAGATAAATTCATCTAACATGTAAATATTGAAGTTAAAGAAATTACCTGTCTGGATATCCTTCCACAGAACCCAAGACTTTGATCGATCCTCAAAAACCACAAAGCATTGCTGCTTTTCCCGATTTATCTGAAGAAAAACAAAGAAAAGGCACTGTTTTTAAAACCAAAATATTCTACCCAGACACTAGATGAAAGATAGGAAAGGAAATCAAACGCTTTGTGTCATATGAGCTCAATTTTGGGGTATCTTATGACCAAAACGGATTATACTAGAGTATGTACTGTGATTATGTGTGTGTATATATATATATATATATATATATAAAAAAATCATAAAGATATGTTTCCTCGCACTAACCTTGGTGATTGTCCCCAAGTAGAACAAGCCATCTGACCACCGGGCCAAGACGTCCTGTCCTTCTGTGAACCTGTCAGACATGCTGTCCTCTCCATACTCGCCCCTAGCAGACAGGCTTGTTGGGGACCCGGACACAGCCTGCTGCTGCCGCTGGGGGAGAGCCCTGTGATGGACAGACAGGTGATCTACATCCCCCGAGACTCTGGAAAGGGGGCCAGAGAGCGAAGCATTTACAATGAGATTTTTTTTCCAGTATATTTTTAGGAAATTCACAGTAAATGTGCTGATCACAGTGTGCTACCGGTTTCAGCAACCAATAATAATGTATGCCAGTATAGACGTAAAAACACACAATAATTATTGTATAACCAAGTAGATAGATGTTTAGACATCATTCAAGTCATGTCAATTTTATTTAGGTCGCACATCAATCCTTCCCTCCTTACAACCCCAATAAATAGACCTGTTGGTGGCTTTTCAGCAGTTAAGTAATACTAAAATCAATTTGGATTTAATTCTACTGAAATACTGCCGTGTATGTGGAATTGTTATGGAAAAAAAAAAAAAACCTGAATACGAAAAACATGCCGTTTACCCTTCAATGGATGCAAACAGGTGAGTACACTATTAATTAGTGCTAATTGGTAATTAACCTAAAACCAATTCAAGACGCAATATGGGTACAGGAGAATGCTAAAGAACTTTAAAAAAACGCAATGGTTATTCATGTTGAACCCAAATCAGAGGCTATAAAAGACAATTGCATGGAAGTGACAATTAAATGTGAGTGACACTTACATTAAATTGTGCCCGTCAGTTGTGTGTAAACTATGAAATACTGTGTACCGTTAACGTCTGCTGAGAAACACCAACTTCACTTATTTCATTCAGACAAGTTAACGTGTGCGATTTAAAAAGGACTTTTTTCCCCCATTTAGCAAATGTCCAAGATTCCCTTTGTTCGGATAATGAGTGAACATGAGCGAAACACTCCACCAGAAACGACAAAAGACCCGTTTGAGAAACCGTTGCATACTACACGTATTGTTAAACAGAGCAAAAAGTAGTTGGGACTCGACTGTTAGCATGAACAACCCGCACGCAAAGCTTTAAACTCCGGAGAGGTCGCTGACCGCCGGACCCACCCCCCTCACGGGAGGAAAACATGATGACAACCGTACCTCATTCGGCCCCCTCAGCTTCTGTAATGACTCGCACGACAAAATAACCAAATATCACAGGACGGCGTTATCCCGCTTCTTCTGCAGCCGGGCTTTATTTCGAAAGTGTATCGCGGAAACTTGCGAGGCTGGAGCTTCGTTAGAAGATAACAAACGGCTCATTTCCCCCCCGCACGTTCGCCATTTTGGTTTCCCGCTGGTGCCCGGATGCATTGTGGGAAGCGTTTAAACGCCTGCTGCGCCTCACTGGAGGTTCCGTTAACGCTAACTTTATTTTCTTCAAATATTTGAAAATGTAGGCCTGGTATTTACAAAACAGCGCATATACGCCCCTATAGTAATTCGGTAAGAGTCGGACAATGCTTTTTTGTTGCGATATTTCTTATGGTGTGGATTCAAATAAAAACTATAACCTGAATATTCAGGTTAACCTCAAACTGATTTGAAAAAAAACATTAACTTTCATTTTTTTTACGTTAACATTAGTTACTCAAACCTTCCAGCAATGTAGTGTTTGATAAACAGGTGCCAATCATGCGCATTCACTAAAACTCATGGTTGTTGACGGGACACATTTCTTTGGTTATGACCGGAAGTTGTGTCACGGCTTAAACAAAAGGCTTTAAATGTGAAACGCGTAACGGAAGCTGCTGTGTTTCCCTCGCGTTTGCGCACTTGACCTGGCGATATCTTAACGTTGAGCTGCAGCCGCAATCCCGAGGACTCGCTGATGCCTGCGCGTGGGTGAATCCACGCCAGAGGCATAATTCGCCCATGTGGTTGACAGTCTGAACGACAGAAGGTGAAAACGTTTCTTTTTTTTTAGCTGCAGACGATCATTTGTGCGCCTGCGCCGTTACGTTCTCCCAAGGCCAGCTCGAGGTATGCAGCTTCGCCTGGAAACCGGCGGCTCCTGTGAAGAGCAGAGTCGCGGGCAAAGTGGACCGGAGCGATTCACAAGGACAAGACGACCCGACGGTCCAGAGTCCGTGGTGCACAGTGGGGCCCAGAACTGGTGAAATGCGCCCGATTCCGCCCCGTTCTGTGAGCGAACACCGGGTCGTTTTCGCGTGGAAGAAGCTCCTCGGGATGTTACGGATGATCTCCCACAGCCACGTCCACGTATTGAGATGATCCGTTTCTTGCGATGGCGAAGGGTCTGTTTCCACGGGCCTGGGTGAAAAAGTCCTTCTACTTCCAGGTAATCTCACTGCCCGACCATTGTGCCTCTGGTGGGATTGTCGCGTGCCTGTGCGTAAACTGGTCGTCGTGGTGACCACATCAGGCTGACAGCTGGCAGCACGTCCAGGGCAGTTCTGATGGATAACCGTGAGGAATGTGGCTGCTGCTGAAAGATTTAAGCTGCTGGTCTTTTTGCTGATCCAGAGCAGAGCTCAGGCCTAGATGTGTGGATGGCACATCTGGACCTTGCATGGGGATCTCTGGTAGGATCTCACTTCATTTTCAAGTTTTGCTCTCCTTTCACATGTGATTGAAAAGCCGCTTAGACTTTTAACTCGGAGCTCACTGTTCTCCCACCACCTCCTGATGCGAGTGTCAGGGGAGCAGTAATTCTTTTGGTGGGATAATTCAGTTGAACTCTTCTTATTTGGGGTAGCGGTGATTTGTTGATTGTAACAATTACCAGAACTGATAAGCTTAGAAGAGACAACACAGAACACAGGTTTTGCTTTTGTAAACAGATGTCTAGAATGCATAGAGTACAGCTTATCTCATCTTATCACCACTTAGGAATGAACTAAAGCCACAGGAATGCAGTAGAAGCCTCCTGTGCTGGTTAATTCAACTGGATCAGTCGCAATTAGGCAACCTTTGAACCTGTACTTGGCCGAAAAATGGAACACTGTGTGCCGAGGTAGTTTCTCTCAGTCCGGACGTGATCTCTGTGCATGGAAAAAGTAATCAAACACTGTTTTTTCGTGTTTGTATATCTAGTTGTGTAGTTAGTGTGAGATGCATGTAATGGTAAAATATGTTATAACATTGTTTTGTGCTAAAGCCGTGTCTCAAGTGTCCGTATTTGACCCTAATGTGCAAAGAGCAGCATGATACAAAATGTTAGATTGCAGCTGTGTCCTGAGAAGGCCTCGATCTCGATCTCATAGACGCTTCAATACAAGGGACCTCTGTTCAGGGCCTTGGTTCATATATTATTTGGTACGAAAGTTTTCAGATCCACGTTTCTACTTTGTGTCAATTAATTATAATTAGCACCTGCCACTGAGGAGGATCTTGTGTGTGTGTGTGTGTGTGCGTGTGCTACCCTCAGCTTCACCTGGGTTCTTATCTCAACCTGCTTTGTAGCTTCTCGTAACTGGCACGGAGAATGTTCTTCACATGTGTATAAAACTCAGCGTTTTTACTGCTCGGAGACGCCATTACACCGAGCGCTGAGATACGTGCTGGTGTGTTGGACCTCCTGCTTGCAAGCAATAGTTAGAGCCAGATATCTGCGGAGAATTGCTCATGTAATCTTTTTCTCTTCTAAATAAATGTTAACTTTTTGACTTTAATTGATCAACGTGTTGCGATCCTTCTCATCAACCAACTCGGGGGGATCGGAGATTAGTCTTTTTTGCGTCTGCCCCTGTTTTGGTGCATTTTGTTCATTGAGAGAAACAGTTTTGGTTACGTATTACTTAAGTGTTGGTTAGATATTAAAGCAAATATGTGCCTTTTGTTGCCCACTGAGCTTACTTGCAACAAAGTGCACTAAAAGGACACTCAATCTCTGATACCACATTTAAAGGAATCTTTTTGGGGGGGAACCACAAGTACTGCAAGTACGACGTACGAAGTAAGTGTTTTTTTTATTGTCTCCGTGTTCAGTTTTGGATCAACTTGAGTTTCTGTTGGGCCTCTTCGTCGTCGTGGCGCAGGCGGGTAGAGAGGGTGTGCTGGGAAGCACAAGGTTGGTGGTTCGAGTCATGACTGCCCTATGTTCCATGTCGAAAGTGTCCCTGAGCAAGACACCTAACCCCTACTCGCTCCCCGGGAAAAATGTAAAAAGCCATGGGTTAAAAATGTAATGTATGTCGCTTTGGATAAAAGCGTCAGCTAAATGTGTAAAGTAATGTAATGTTAATTACATTTTGCCCTGCCCTGTTTTCGGGACTTTCGGGATAGTTTTTCATTGTGCGATGGCACCAACCGCCGTCTACGCAGTGGTCCCGCCTCGATCCTCAGACAGGAAAAAGCTCAGTGGAGAGAGAAAGACACCGGCCAAACTACGACCCGTCATGGGCAACACCTTCCAGTGAAGATGCGATGCTGCGGGTCCTGTGACCCTGCCGCTGTGGCCCGACTGTAAGGAGTCAATACCTCCGTGAGGTCTAACTCGCGGAAACTGAATCTAACTGTTGACAGCTGCTCATCCCCACAGTTCACAATACGGGCTTTGTTCACCGTGGACTTTCCTCGCTTTGCTCAACTGCAGAAGTCCTCGCGCCTGCACTACTCACGACCAGCTGTGATCATCATCAATATTTACATCAGTATTAACAGTATCTTGCATCAGCTGCCAGACTGTAGGATATTTGATATTTACAGTACTGTGCACTTCACATACATACATCAACAGCGTTTTGAGCACCTCGTCCCGTGTGTTCGATCAGATAAGTTGATCCCATGTGATCTTAGTAAATACAGCATTATATACAGTAATACAAACAACACGTATTCGGTTTCAAGGAACATGAGCCGGTGTAAGAAAGGATACAGCTCATTGTTGCTCAGGTTTCTTTGACATCATGCGTTTGCACGGACTTGCTGAGACGCACACCGACGAGGTGGTTTTCATGCAGACTTTTGTGAAAACCTCAGTTGTTGTTAATGAACAGATTTTGAAACTTTCTGAATTGGGTGGAATTCAGGTCAGCTGTTCCTGCCTTGTGATCTGAGTGAGAATTACATGGGTTGATTTCTCAACCTGTGTAATATGTTGATTTTTAAAACATAATTGGAAGCAGATAGCAACTTTGCATTGCACTGTCATTGCTGTAGATGTTGTTCTGCAATCTCTTTTTTTTATTTCACCAATGAAGCCTTTTCTTTAGGAGTGAAGAATAATGTCTTTGTATCTCCTGTGGACAATAAGTCACAGACCGAATGAACTTAAACAATGTCACGGAAACGGCAGCAGCTGTGTCCAAACAAGCCCTATGGGGCATGTGATGTGTGCATCGCGTGACACAGCCAGTTATTAGATTTATTTTCCTGCCAGAATAGCATGTGACACTGGACCTGCTCTATCCGCGGCTCCATGTTACCATCTTGCAGCTTAATGAGCTATTGTCTCTCATGGTGACTAATCAGTCAGCCGGTTCTTTGTCACAAGACACTCCTGTGCTGTCACCGTGGCAACAGTTTGTGATAAGGTATGATTAATGAATACACGACGGGCATGAATGTGCAAGCCGAGCATCAACTTCAACAATTGCACAGGATGACTTTATTTATCTGTTACGAACTCTTAAGCCAGGTCTCCTGTTTGTGCCCTCCGTAGGCTCGGGTCTCCTTTGTACGGGTGAAGTACCTGTTCCTTACGTGGCTGACGGTGCTGGTTGGGAGCTGGGTGCTCTATGTGCAATACTCTGCCTACACGGAGCTGTGCAGAGGACACGAGTGCAGGAACGCCATTGTGAGTAGTGACGTTGTTTGTTTTGACCTCGATGTAATTTTATGCAACAACTTCTTCATGAGGAACACCCAACTTCAGCAATTAAAAGAAAGTACACCAAAAGATAAAATCCGGTTTCTGTTTTGCAAACAAAGGGTGTTGCAAACACTTCGGGTAATGAATGAATATAACTGTAAATAAAGACGCTTAAAATGAACAATCCTCTACTTTTTCTGTCTTTTTCCAAGTGTGATAACTACAGGAAGGGAATCATCGACGGATCCGCCTGCAGCAGTCTGTGTGACAAAGACACGCTCTACATGAGCCGCTGTCTGTCAACACTGCCCAACAACCAAGTAGGGAAAAACACATTTGACTTTGGGTTAAAGTTGTGATTGTTTGCAGGATGTTTTGATGTTGGTTCGCCATTGTGTACGCCAGGTGTACACAGGAAGCTGGGGAGACCACGATGGTATCGTCCCGCTGTAGATTGGGGGAGGTCACGCACTACGAGCTGGGCGAGGAGCCGGAGCCGCGGAGAGAATCCCCCCGTGTTCGACAAGCCCACCAGAGGCACATCGTGGAGAAGTTCAGAGAGATGGTCTTCAATCACCTCAAGGTAAAGGAGTTGAGTTTCAGATTTGGAGGGGGGCGGGGGGGAGGGGCGGTGCAGAACCAAACATTCGAGCCTCTGTCCCTCTCCGTCCATCAGTCCAAGCTGGGAGAGCAGGCCAATCTCGCCGGCCTCGTCGGCCAGATCCTCTCCGTCGCCGATGGCAACAAGGACGGACGAGTGTCGCTGCCAGAAGCTCGTTCTACGTGGGCCCTCCTGCAGATGGATGAGGTACATAACGACAGGCGGCGCCGGCGTCTGTGCTCGTTGGTGACGCTCTGGGTGTGAAATGGCAACGGCAAACGTGGAAATCGCTCGAGCTGTTTGGTGAGATAACGCTGTGTTCTTTCTGCTTTTTTTTTTTTTTTTCTTTCTTCGAGGTGCTGCTGGGTCTGCTGCTCCAGGACCGTGGACACACCCCGCGCCTCCTCGGCTACTGCGGGGACCTGTACATGACGGAGCGAGTCCCCTACGGGCCCCTGTACGGCCTGTCTCTGCCCTGGCCGCTGGCCGGGTGGGTGCCCAGCGGCGTGCAGCGCACCGTGGACCAGTGGTTCACCCCCTCGTGGCCCCGGAAGGCCAAGATCTCCATGGGCCTCCTGGAGCTGGTGGAGGACGTCTTCCACGGCACCTACGGCAGCTTCCTGATCTGCGACTTCGCCGCGGCGCACTTCGGCTACACCGACCGCCACGAACTCCGTCTGACGAACGCCCGCGCGGTGGTCCCCGAGGCCGCGTTCAGACGCGCCATGCGGGCGCGGACGTGCGAGGCCGACGGCGACTGCGTGTACGGGGTCGACTGTCACACGTCCTGCGACGTGGCGGAGAAGCGGTGCAGGGGGGAGCCGCTTCGGCCGAACTTGGCCAAGGCGTGCGGCACGCTGAAGGACTACCTGCTGCGCGGGGCGCCGTCAGGCCTGAGGGAGGAGCTCGAGAGGCAGCTGTACGCCTGCATGGCTCTGAGGGGAAACGCCGGACAGATGAACATGGAGCACTCGCTTATTCTCAACAACTTGAAAGCGCTGCTGTGGAGACAGATCTCGCACACCAAAGACTCGTGACGAGGCGAGGGGAGGGTCCTCGCAAAGTCTCCCACTGGTGGAGCGGAGATTCAGGAGCTGCAGAGAACTTTATAATCGGCGCTTAACGCTTGTGAATCAGACTGATGGAGACTCGGCATCCTCGATGAACCGAATGGTTGCATGTTCCCATCGGCCACGTTAGATTTCATCAGCCACAGCAGCGAGAGGTTTCTGCTGATGACGGACTGGTGAAACAGACTTATCGTTACTCTCAAGAGCCGAGAGACCATGTTGCTGTTTTCTCACACAAAATCATGCGTTTGAGATTTAGTTGCACAAAACTCTTGTTTGAAGTAGGTGCAGTGCACTATTTTAAGATGGGCTCCTTGATACTTTACAGTTGATCCTGAGCCTCATACACTAATTAGGCCACTTAGGATTTAATGATGCGGCGGTGGACATTCCGTACTAGACGGGGACCTGCAGGGCGTTAGTTTGTCTGCTGTTGGATTGGTTCTTGTTGCTGTCTGTTGCACTCGGTCCTTAACCCGTTGGTGCCTAATGAGGGTAAACGTCCTGCAGAAGTCACACAAGTTCTGCTTTTGGGTACTGTAGTTTATGAACGGTTACTCAAACAGTAGTGAATGGTGCAAACGCTCTGCTGCATAATAATGAACATTTGGTGAACTGATTGTATTCTGCAGGACAGTTTGTGGTATTGATTTAAAAAATAACCTACAGTGCCCGTGTGACAAGATATTTTTGGCTTAAGCTATAGACCGTGCAACATTAATTCATTAGTTTCTTTAGGGATACATTTGGCAAGTATAGCAAACAATACTTTCCCTTTGTCGCTCATCTGCATAATAGTGAGGCAGTTCATCCGTGATGGTATTTGGTTGTATTCCACAAGCTTTGTCTTAATGTAGGTTTTCCTCCTGTACTAGTGCTGTATCAACGACACAAGGAATATAAATCCACTTAGCTTTCTTTACGAATGTTATCTTGTATTTCTCACTGACGAGCACTTGTTGTAATGTGCTGTATCACATTCTTTGGATTGTCTCTGTGCCATAGAGATCCAGCTGAAATCATGATTGTTCACAATCGTCGTCAAGTGGAGATTTCTTTTCAACTCCCGTGGTCACACTTGAATGCTGTACATTTTACATGATCTATTCGTCATTGTTAAGTTGCTGTGGCCTGAACTGGATTCATCACTTCACATGTGTTTAAGACCCGACGTGAGCTGTGAAGCTTGACAAGTTTGTGCTTAGTGCTGCAGGTTGTTTTAATGTAAAGAATGAAAACAAGTTCACCTATTGAAGACCAGCATGATTTTGCACAATTAAACTTCACTGTAACTACTCCAATCCTTTCTGGCCTGATGTCCAATAACACTACACTGGGCGCCTTGACATTTGTGTGAATTATTTTCAATATTTTTCAATTTAAGCACAACAGGGTTGGAATTTCCTTTCATATAAATACATTGCAACCACACTATACTTCCAAAAACTATTGACAGACAAAAAGCTTGAGTTTGAAATAAATTTATTTGTCTGTGAGATGTGTGTTGTTGCAGCAGAGCCCCTAACCGTCCCCTGCCTCTTGTTCTTGTGCTCTTAAGAAGCTGGCTTTTTTCTGGGCGACGCGGTCCTTCCTCTGTGCCAGAGACAACTTGGCGCGATTCCACCTGCCCGGAAAGAGACCACAGCAGCTCCATTAACATTCAGCACACCAGAGGGAGGTCGGCTCAGCCCCGGGAGTTTCCCCCAGTAAAGATATTCAATACTTAAGTCCTTAACAGTCATTTTCCCAGGGCATCCATAATTTGAGGCAGGTATTTACAGGTTATATTATCTTTACAATTCTGCTGCAAAAGCAGAAAATTCTTCTCAAGTTGCAGCATCACAAACTAAAAAGATACACAACCCACCTCTTCTTTTTGATGTCTTTTGTGGGTTTCTTTACGTGGGCTGGGTTTGCTCGAATGGCTGCGTGTGCTTTTTTGTACATTTCCTCAACCTGATAAATAAAAAATAAAAATAAAAAAACAAGTTAATGCATCACATCCAGGACACTTCACCAGGCCAAACAAAAGGTTCTCGCTTCTCTCAGCCCCGTCTTGAAAGGACAGTAGACATCAGCTATTGCAAATGAAGGACCAACTACATTTTGCTCAGCAGGCTTTGTATCGTCATCGAGAAGCAGAGAACCAGCAAACAAAGCAGTCGAATGTTTTGATGGCCACGTGTGGTTATAAGTACTGCCTGCGTTAGCGCGCACAAACAATACAGCCGCAGTGGAGATGTGAGACAGCAGAGTCCGGAGCTTCGGGGTCGTTCTGAGAACATCTACAATTACAGGTTTAAAGTTTAAAATAATCCAGCTACACGGGTCGTGTTTCTGCAACATTTTAGTTACCAAAACTCTACTGCTCTCTGGTGGACAAATGCAACAGGTGCAGTCTTCCTAAAAACCAAACTGTCGACCGAGTTTACTGCATTGTATTCACTTGTAGTAGTAGATATATATATATTAGCAATAAAATAACATGATACTCTGAGGTATTGGCTCTCAACAGAACTCTGAAGGTTTAAAACAATTTCTTGAATTTACTTCGAGTAGGAAAATCGCAATTTTCTTTTGAATGTTGTTTTTAAACTAGAGTACTTCTGCGGGTGGAGCGTTCATCTTACTGCGTCTGGCGTGACTCCGTTCTTGATGAAGCGGGAGAACTGTTTCTTGTAGGCGTCCTCGTCCTCCTCCATCAGATACGACATGTAGTCGGCCACGTTCATGCCCATGATGTGTTTCCGATGCACATCCGCGCTGAAGTCTTTGCTCTCCGTGTCGTAGCCGGGGAATCGTTTTAGACTGGAAACAAGGAAGAGAAAAAGGATGAAAAAAACTGACAATTCCGCTGATGAGACGCGAGACCGTTTCCTTGAATGCATTTCCCACCGCGAGGCGACAATCGGACGCTTGATTTGGTTCCCCGTGCTTCTCTCAGCCCCGTCTTGAAAGGACAGTGGGCATCAGCTAATGCAAATGAAGGACCAACTACATTTTGCTCAGCAAACTTTTTATCATCACTGAGAAGCAGGGAGAACCAGCAACAGCCACAGACTGGACCAGTCTGAGTGACTGGTCACGGAACAATCGTCAGGCAAATAAAAAGGCGATCGAAGAAAAACCACAATACAGAACAATATAAGCTAAAAGAAAATGGCGGCATTCAGACCTGTGGGGAATTGCCAGTCCTCCGTCTACTGCTCCCTTCAGCGCCCCGAACACCTTGTTCCCTGTGGTGGTTCTGGTGAGGCCCGCGTCCAGGTAACAGGTGAAGGCACTCGGCTGTCCGTCAATGCTCTCCACGTTGAACTCCTCTCCCGTCACCTCCACCTGGCCCTCGTACACCTGGTCCATGCCGAACTTGTGCAGCAGCTTGAGGAAAAGGAAAAGGTGCAAAAGAGGGTTTGAGAAATACAGATGACACAATCCAAATGAAACGGACCTGCGCACAAATCTCATTTTTCTGCATCCACATGCAGACACACTTGCTTTGGTTCGCTTCTCTCAGCCCCGTCTTGAAAGGACATTAAACATCAGCTAATGCAAATGAAGGACCAACTACATTTTGCTCAGCAAACTTATCATCATCACCAAGAAGCGGAGAACCAGCAATAACAACCACAAACTGGACCATGCAAGGAGAAGAAATTCTGTATTCACGTGCTGACATCAGCAACTGTGTGTGTGTGTGTGTGTGAGGTTCTTACCCTGCGGGCCAGCAGCAGCCCGGTGCAGTAGGCCGCAGCGTAGTTCGTGAGGCCTACTGCGATGCCGTAGTTGGGGAGCTCGTGGGAGTAGGACGCACACACAATCTGGTCTCCTTCAATCTTTGCGTAGGCAATCTGGACGAGACCGAACAAAAGAACCACAAAGCAGGTGGTCATTTGGTCGTATTTGACACGAGACACACGGAAGTTTGACCCGGACTCCCGGTCACTCACCTGACAGCAGATGTCCCGGTTGGACAGCCGGACGATCATGCGGTACTTCGGCGTGTTGTACTTGTTTTTGTCCTGCACAACGAGGCGCTTCCGGGCGAAGAAGTCGGTTTTTCCCTCTGTGGAAGTGAAGAGTCAGCGATCGAGTCAAAGCGATGCACGATCACAATCCGCTTATTTACAGGACAACGTTCACTTGCCTCGTCGCCTCCTGAATTTCACTTGATACCTCCGGAAGTAGGACTTGTTTTTAACCACTTTGACGAAACCCTGCGTTGAAAAGTTGAATCGAGCAGTTAGCGTGCAAACTATAACCGGAGAAAAAGAGTCGAGAGAACTAAATAAAAGCCAACAGCTTCAAGCGTCACGTATTTTAAATAGTTTTTTTTAGCTCGGCGCGACGCTGGTCAGCTGAGGTTTCGTCGGCCATGGAGGCGCCACGCTGGAGCCCAGAAGCTCACCGGCGAACAGCCGCAAACATCCACGAACATCTGACCCCTAAACGCACTGGGAACTCATCGTCCGCCATCAAATACGCGTCTACGCGTCAAGACCACCTGCAGGGGATGTTCATTTGAAAATATAACTCACCATTTTTGAGCGGAATTTCACTCCCTTTCCTCTTAGATTCAGATCTCTATGCGGCGGGAAGGCAGCAGGGGTGACGTGTGCGCTGCAGAACGCCCGGTGACCAGAGAGCGCCCCCTGTCGCCCCGGTAGACCACCTGCCCCAGCCAACAGCGCCCCCTGTCGCCCCGGTGGACCACCTGCCGCAGCCAACAGCGCCCCCTGTCGCCCCGGTGGACCACCTGCAGGGGCCGACAGGGGGCAGCAGCGACACAAACACACACACACATGTTCACACGTCTTCTAAATAGATAGGACTAATACGGTGAGCCTATTTTTTTATAATGTCCTTCCAGTTAATAGCAGGGGTAATAAAAGGCCACCTGTTTTATACAAGAGATGCTGCTTGTTGAATGGTAAAGCCATTGTTGAGAAAAAGTACTCAACTTTGACCTCAGCTGGTACGGTAACGAGCACCTGGGTGTTGGTGCTTCATACAGTCTCACAACTTATTAATATGTATCTGTTACTTAATTTGTATGTTCTTTGGGGTAAAGGGCCTCACAGTTTCTGTCTCAAAAACGTGTTGAAAAAGATTTGATTATGTGAATTGCAGGTGGGGCCTTCTAATAGCCTCATTATTGTTTTACAGGCACTTGAATTCCCAAACATTCCTGATATGGAAATATTCATTGATGATGATAATAACGGTTCTGACAATTTAGGATCAAGTAGGGATTTCAGTTTTAAATATTAGATACAACATTTACGTTTCTTATCTATCGTTTCAACTGTGTGTTACTGCAAAGCAGTATGACTGATACACTGACGGCAGATGTTCAGCCAGATTTAGTATGAGTGACATGACTGGTCTTTCACTCTAGATTCACCTATTTCCAAACACAAAATTGGGTTTGCTGCTGATCCGCCTATTGAATTCTGCTGTAATTAATATGAGTGATGAGTATCATGCTGTTGGTGTCGTTCCACCGGCCCCACTGCTCATCAACATGTGAGAGATGTATAGATAAGAGAGTGATCCCACTCTTCTGCACGTGGAAAACTGGATCATCTAACGCTTATTTACAAACTTTTATCCAGTTTTTGTTGACGTGTAATAAAAGACATGGTTGTGAAAGGATTATGCGATGAACAATTGTTGGGCTGCGCATACTTGCTAAGCTAAGCCAATGTGCTGGTAGCTTCATATTTATCTTACATACACAGGAAAAATATTTACCTTTTAGCTAAGTCTTGGCTAGAGAAGGAAATAAGACTATTTCTTACACTGTCAATGTGTCCTTTAGTAGAGCTTCAAGTTGTTGGAAGTCATATTTTGACACATTTGGGGCGAAGGCCAAAAGTTCCCGATTTCAAATTGTTATGCTAAGCTAAGATAACTGGCTGCTTGATGTAGCTTCCCATTAAACTACAGACGTGGTATCCATAATTTCATCCAACTTTCATAAAGAAAGCAAATACGTGTATTTCTCAAAAATAAATGTTGAGTGGCATCAATATAAATGACTCAAGTAAAGAATGTAAAAGTAAAAATTGTGCTAGAGTAGAATAATTGAAAGCCTGTGCCACCACTGATTTTAAAGCTAATCATTATCTCACAATGTCAGCGATGTAGTTTAGCGTTCTATTTGTGTGGGACCAACAGAACATTAGGAGACATTTTATTGACCCATTAAAATTCCCCCGACTTCAGTCAAATAAGGGTCAACTGTCCATATCACATGCTTTTGCTTTGCTCGAACCCCTAAACAGTGCCTACAAAATGATGAAACTACGTGAGTCTGCTCGCTCCATCGACAACCGCTGAAAAGAAAAAGGAACTATGGTCTTCTGCTTTTCTGTTCGAGCAGAGATAGATAATATCCAACACTGTCATTCTCGATGCAGATGTTCTCGGTATTAGATAAGAGGTGTCCAAGTCACTCTTGTGGACAACTTTTTGGTAGCCGCTCACGCTCTGTTTCTGCAGAACTGATTTCACAATGAAGAGAAGAAAGTGCCCAGTCATTTGTTTGCAGCAGAGATCGGCAGTCCGTAATTAAGATTCACACTTAGAGCCGAGGGTGTGGTGGGCGTTCAGAAGTGTAAAACTGCTCGTACGTTTGTCCACTTTCAATGGCCGCCCCGGGATCACAATTGGAGCTTCACTTTCTCACGCTCCATTTTAATATCTTGGTGCTTCCTTCCATACTGATGTAATATCAACAAAGGAATACTTTCTGGTTTTGTGTGTGAGTTTTCATCTTGAAAAGACACAAAATAATTGAGCGACGTGGATGTTTCGGTGGACTAACTAATGCCGTGAAGAAAGTCACACGTCAACAAAAGTGTTAACTGGCACACAACTGATAAGAAGGCTGCGCCTGACAGTTGACAAGCGACACACTGTTGTATTTCCTGCCTTTTTCTCACAGCTGATTGCATTTGTTTTCATGTGCTTGTTGAGACATTGTAAAGATCAACAACCGTCTCCCGTAAAGTCCAAAATGTTCTGGATCACAAACCGTGGCGCACATTGCATACTCAGCAATGTTAAGATCGCCAAATCACTTCTGCGGAAATTAAAATGAGTTCTGCTAATTAACAGTTGATAAAATATCAGAGGAACAGCAGAAATGGTGTGAGAAACTTTTTTTTCTTCATCTGCCACGTGATAAGTGTTTTTACGTGACGTGCAAAAAATAGAAAGAGCAAAGTTTTCTGTGTAAAAAATACGTCGAGGACTCAGATCCTCAGATTTAAGAGCATCAGCAAAAGAAAAACTGAGACTTGTAAAAAATACATATCTAGAAAACACATGATTGAATGGCCAACATTAGGTACATATCTCCAGTTGAAACTAACAAGTTATCAAAACACCCAACAAGGCACAACGACACATACATACATGGACGCACACATGAACAGGCTGTTGATCTCTGACCTTTCAAACGGCCCCTTCACCCCCCAACACAGAGACACACAATGACCAGGAAGCACCAAGCAGGTTTCTTCACATCCACACACCAACGTCCCCCGATGAGATTCTTGGTATTTGAGAGGGAAATTTACAACCAGAAACGGGCTGGTTGCAAACAAGGGGAGCTGCTGATCACAGTGATGGATGACGAAGGTGATTTGTGGAGTGTTTACAGCATAAATCTAAGCATCTGTTTAGTGTAACGTGAGAGTTTCTTTTCAGTGCTTCTTACGAGTTTTCTTTCCCACTTTCAAGGTTTTTATTTTATTTTATTGTAACCATGCTGATGTTGCGGTAATGTTTAAGGGTAACTAGGACATCTATGATCATAGAGAAATAATCAGAGTTAAATCAGAATGATAATTTTAACGTTTATTTAATAAAAGTAACACAGAAGAATGCTCCCCGACTGATGCAGGATGAAAACGATCAGTAGAGAAAGTAAGTGAGAAAAGACATTTGTGGAACTCCTGTGTGAAAGAAGAACTGTCTTGCGGTCAGCAGCGTCCAGTAAATCATTCATTGTTTTCACACTCGGTCCCTATCTGGCGCCTGCAGTTGTGGCCAGAAGAGCGCTCATGAGGTTCGGACCGGGCGGGACACAGTTGAACACGAGGAAAGGAGTAAAGTCAGATTGTAGCTGGAGGAAAAGGGATGGAGATAGTTGAAAAGGGAGAGAAGAGGGGGGTCCGGGGGGGGTGGTAACACTGTGGTTAGAGTTCTGGAGCCAGAGGAACCTGTGAGGGGATGAGATAGCATGATGTGGTTTTCAGTGAGATGCCAGAGTGGAGGTGCAGAGGTGAACGCCAAGACTGAGAGCCTGAGACTAAACAATGGCATAAACCAGTAAAAGTCAGTTTAGCCACAATAAGCTCATCATGTCATGTGTCCATTGCGTGCAGGAGAGTAAAATGTACTTTTTCTCACTTGCAAAAAAGTTCACCGAATGTCTTTTTTTATATATTTTGATCTATAAAAACCGAATTGGTTTTAGTTCCACTTCTCAGCAGTCTGACTCAAAGAGTATTTTAGTTTAGAGGGACAAAATGTCAACAAATGTCCACGTTCATGGGAGTTAAAATACACCGTTGCTCATCCATCACATGCTCTGGAGTTGTAATGCTACCTGGTCCAGGACCAGTGGCTCATGCTCATGTTAGCTCGAGTTAGCAAACTTCAGCGAGACATTGTTTTCTATCCGTCCCAGCAGCCCCGGCAGAGAAAAATCAAGTCAGTGAACTGCGTCCTTCTCCCCTGACTGTCACACACGGCCTCCGCAGCAGCTGTTCAGCAGTCTCCCTTAAAACTGGATTGCGTTGCGTCAAAATCAAGACAATATTTTGACAAGCTAATTGTGTGCACTCTGCACCTCTTGTCGACATTCACATGCATGTGGTATGAAAGCCGCGGCCTCAGGTGTATTTAAAACTGCGAGGGCCCCCCTCAGTCTATCATCGCGCAGGGCCCGAAGGGGCCAAAGGTTGAGCCTGAGAAAATAACCGCATGGCTCTGCAGCACAAGTCTTTATTTAACCTTCGACAAGAAAAGAAAAAGCAAAAATACAAGACCCCCCCCCCCCTGCCCCCCTCCTCACCCCTCCTCCTCCTCTGCTCCCCGGGCTGTGATCACTGCGATCGGGCTTCTATTTCAATCACATACTTGCTGTAAATCTACAAGAGCGAGAATCAAGGCCTTTGAGGGAGGAGGTGATTGGTGAGGGGGGGTTACACAGCGGCTGTGGCAACAGCGTCTGCTCAACGCTGCATTTGGTTTCCTGTTCTGACTCAGTGTGTTACTCTGAGTTTAAACATACTGACTCTGTCACTTTTTTCAATAATCAAAATGCTGTCTGTGGCAATCGACAGGGCTTCATATGTCAACTCAGAGCACTTAATTCAATATCTGCTTGAATATGTGATTGATAAAAACAGTTTGTTGTTTAGGGAACATTCATCAGGTGCATGACCTGATGAATGTTCTGGTCAAGTCTAAAATCCTGTTAATTCTAAAGGGACAACTGAGAATTAAAAACAAATATTTGTGTCTTTGCGAACTAATTGCTGTCTGCTCATTTGTAGGAGGGGAGGTGGTAATTAAATATTACAGTCCAATAATTTTTTACCATTTTTCAGCAATGAAAAATCAAAACAGGACAGGAAAATGACAATCACCGACATTAAACGTCCTCCAAATGGAATTGTGATTGCATTCACAGATGTAACATTTCCGATCAACACAAGGGACCGTGATCTTTAAAAAAAAAAAAGATCTGGCGTGTTGCGAAGAATCTGCTTAACTGATGGATCGTTGAACAATGCAAATAGCCACAGATGTTCAGTTATGAATCAGTGTTTTTGTTTGACTGTCATGGCTGACAAACGTCAAAATGATTCGCTCAACGAGGAAGAGGAGTATGAATACATGCGTCTTCTAATACAGACCTGAGGGTTTTGTGGTGCTCTCTGCAGTCTGCGACTGATCAGACAAAAGTCACCGGGCTGTGCGTGTGTGTGTGCGTGCGTGCGTGCGTGTGCGTATTCGCAGCGGGGATCTATCGCCTTCCTGCAGTGTCAGGGCTGGGTGAGTATGCGACATGTGTTTCAGCTTCGTGCCTCGGCTATCTGCTTTGCTTACAGGTTCACCGACTTGTTGCAGCTGCATCAAACAGACTCTGTTCCCACATCGGAGAAAAAAAAAAAATCGATACCTCTTTGCTTTGGTCCGAACTTGAACTCAGCCCGGAATCATCGCTATGATTTAAGTCTGACAGATTGAAAACTCTGGTTTCGATTTATGTTATTTTCACTGTTCCTGTTGGCACGTGTGTCTCGAGCATGTATTTCAGGGGGCAGCCTATAATTGGGACCGCGTATTGGCCGGAGGGGGGGGGGGGAGTTAATGATGTGAAACAATAAGACTGGAGTCTGGTAAACTGAAGTAGTGTAACTGTAAGCGGATCTTCTGCTCCCCACCGACAGGCTGCTGTGCAGAGCGGCCGTGCGCGTCTCATTATCAGGATCACATTACCACGAGCCAAACAAATAGGTCATTATCCATCACAGCCTGCACTGCCTGCGTGGACACAAACACACGTCTTTATTTCTGATCGCATTCAAATGATCGTCACTGGTTTAATCATCCAGTTGAGACTTTAAATGATCAGTTTTTTAAATAATATTTCAAATTGATTTCTGGATAAATAAAAATGCAAAACATTGCAACGGACCAGCAAAGCACGAGTCCAATCCAGGTAGTGTTACATCTTCTAATGCTCAATTGTAAACACTACAGCAGTCTCAGTTATTTAATTTCCATAACACATTGAGAAAACACAGATTTATTCTAAACCAGAATTAACCCTCTTCGAGACATCTATCCGTCACCTGTAACTATAACATTAAAGACACGTCCCATTCAATCCAAAGGGAGGGAGGAGGAGAGGCGGGGAGGGGGGGGGGGTCGCCTGTCCGGTGACAACCTGGTAAAACGATACGGCCTCTCTGCACATGCGTAATGGGCTGCCCAAAAATCCCAACACCGTCTCTACTGTCACCCGACAGAGTTCCAATCTGTCCGGAGATAAAGTCAGAGCAGCGTGGAGCGGAGAGAAGTGAGTTGGAGGATTTTCAGACCAAAGCACAACCAAAAGTACTTGGGAAACATGCCGAGGTCTTTCCTGGTGAAGAGTAAAAGGGCCCACAGCTACCACCAACCCCGGGACTTGGACGACGACTTTAGCAGACTGGACACTATTCTGGCTAACGTGTGCACAGGTAGGTTTTCTTCTGCGTAATTACGCACGGACACTTGTCTAACTCAAGGCGTTAATCCTATCCAACCAAATGAGTTCCTCATCCAAATTGAAATATTTGTCCCACAGTTACAGTCAGTTTCTCATCTCTGCTGTCTGATGTCATTAGAGTCCGAATCTCCGGCGGAGTTTGAGTCCAACTCGGCGTCTCAGGAGGATGGGAGCGCCGGAGCTCACAGAACAACCAGCGGGTCCAGGCTGCTGTCCCAAGTGTCGCTCTCCTCCAGCCCCCCGCTCAGCTGCACCGGCAGCGCGTGTGACCGATCCTCCGACTGTGATTTCTGGCGTCCCCCGTCTCCATCCTCCTCACCAGGTCTGTTGTCATTCAGATTTCATGTTTTTCAAAAGTGACAGTATTATAAGATACAGCAATGTTTGATGTTTGAATTGTGAGGGTATTATTTAAATGTTTAGTTGTCAACAGTTGCCATGGATCAGCTGAGTGGTTAAAATATGTTAAACATTTTCAGTACTTTTACGAGCTATATATTGTATTGAGTTTAAATTATAAGGTTAAAAAACACTGATGAAACACGCCAATAGTGTCCATTGGAAGGTTGAAAGAGGGACATCTGGATATAATGTTCATTGCTATGTCTAGTTTTTGATCGTTTGTGTTACCGATCACTTAGTATTGAGATACAGTGTAAGATACAGAATACATTTTCAGTGTTGCTGTTGTCTAAAGTTGCCAATAAGCATGTGCCTATAGCCATTTACGGCAAATTCCAAATTTACAAATCTTAAAATACGTTATGAGCTGCATCAGATTGCACATCAGAAAGAAAAATCAACCTCACTCTAAATCCGAATCAACTTCCAGATTCCGATGAATGCTCCACTCCCTCAGCGGAGGACGGCCACCGCTTCAACCTCCCCATCTTCCCCTACTCGTGGGCGGCGTACTCCGGCACTGCGCTGAGGCATCTCGTTCAGGGGCCGTATTCCCGCCACCCCCGGGGCCACAGGGAGTCCCCGGTCAGCATCTACGCCGTAGAGGACAGCGGTGCCAAGCCGCTTTACGCACAGCGGGGCCCGGTCGCCGGATCCTACAAGGACTTTTCTTCAACGTCCCACAAAATCTGCAGGATGCGCGATGCAGCCGAGCTGTATGTGGATGTAAAGCAGGAGTCCCGCGCTGCAGAGATCAAGTCAGAAAACGATTTTATTTGCTCAAACGAGTCAAGTGGATCCTATAAGTGCATTAAATGTTGCAAGGTACGTTTGCTAATATTTACTGAGGATATTTACATGGTCGAAAACATAATACTTGTTTGCTGAATTCACTGAAGACGTAAACTGTGAGACCAGAATGAAGATCAGTAGGCTTCTCTTATTTCCACATTGTGACATCAGGGCCAATTACTGTCTATTTTCCAAAGGTATTCTCCACGCCTCACGGGTTGGAGGTTCACGTGCGGCGCACGCACAGCGGGACGCGGCCGTTTGAGTGTGTGATTTGCGGGAAAACCTTTGGACACGCAGTGAGCCTGGAGCAGCACACAGCGGTTCACTCGCAGGTACTATTGCAATATGTACGGTTCACATCCTGGAATCACATACTTCGCAGAATATATTTTCTAAAACGACTTTAACACAGTTACTGTAGTTCTGTCCCTCGATCTAAATGGTAGGTTTTCCACACTGACATTTGAAATACTTTACAGGAGAGGAGCTTCAGCTGTAAAATATGCAACAAAAGCTTCAAGCGCTCATCGACGCTGTCCACGCACCTGCTCATCCACTCGGACACGCGCCCGTATCCGTGTCAGTACTGCGGGAAGCGGTTCCACCAAAAGTCAGACATGAAAAAACACACCTTCATCCACACAGGTCAGATACCGCACAAACCAAAATGTCATCGATATCATCAAAACAGAACGCGCGTAAAATGGCTCCCCGTGCGTAATGCGTAAAACGTGCTCCTGACATACTGTATACGTTACCGCTGCAGGTGAGAAGCCGCACAAGTGTCAGGTGTGCGGGAAGGCCTTCAGTCAGAGCTCCAACCTCATCACGCACAGCAGGAAACACACCGGGTTCAAGCCTTTCGGCTGCGACCTCTGCGGGAAAGGTTTCCAGAGAAAGGTGGACCTGCGGAGACACAAGGAGACGCAGCACGGACTCAAATGAGCAGACTTCGATGCTTTAGCAGCGAATCTTGCACTTTTATTGTATTGTGACTAATCATAGTCGTGTTTTATTTTATTATATTGGTTGTTGCATTGTTCTAATTTTCCCTATATGATTGAATGTAGTGAATTATTTAGCCTGAATTTTTTGGTTGATTTAAATGAAATAAAAGTGTATTTATTGTGTTTTTACCTTCATAATATTCACAGAAGCACAACCTTTTGACTGTTAACATCGATTTACAAAAATAAATGTTTATTAATAATGAATTATCACTTATAAATGATCCAATCTAGAAATGCTCCCTCTCGTTTTAATCTATTCAATATTGATATAGTCAAGTACACATTAACATTATGAGCCCTGCTGTCTGTTTCCTTCTTTTTTGACAGGCCATCAAATGTGGTCTCTTTATTGTTTATTTGCTAAAATACAAGACATTTATCACAATTTACAAATGGAGGTTTTAGGTTAAAAACTATTTTAAAAGCATGCCTCAGTCCTGTATATGTACGTTGTGAAAAACGAGAAGCTGCGTTAAGCCATGCGGGCAATCAATCACGTCCTGTGTCAAAGTTATACCTCCAATACCAAATAGAAAAACGTTTTGCTGCGCGCGCCACCTGGTCAAAACCAAATATTTTCAGACACACACATTGTTAACATACCCATATAATAAATTACCTTATCTTGGTGTCATAAACCGCCCTGTGAAGGAAGTCTGCTGAAATAGCGTCACTTTTATTACAGAAGCTCCTCCAGCACCACAAGAACAGCGAGTCCACATGGCGTCTTCACTAGGAAAAGCTGGGTGTGATTTATTTGCTCCTGCAGAGGTTAAACATCCTGCTCCAGAACTTCAAGGATCTGATTTGCAGACATTTCACCGGAGATTGTGCATCATAAAGTATCGCAGCGATGGAGGAATAACTCAGATGCTTTACTCAAGTAAAACTATTAAGCAAGTATAAATAATTCAATGTTAAAAATGTCCCATGTTATCTATTATGTCATTAGATTATTATTATATTATTAGCTCATTTTGCAATAAGTGCAATTAATGATTCTATTCTTCATAAATTGATAATTTGGTTTGTCAACGCCACGCCAATGTTTGTTTTGTCAAACATTCCAAACCCCAGAATTAAAGCAAATTCTGACATTTGATAATCCGGAACCATAAAAGTTTTTGTAATTTGTAATTTGCATTTTAAATGTTATATAAATAGGATCAACTTAATTTTCTATCAATCATTTAATTGAGTAGCTTCAGTTGTACACGTTATAAAAAATATTTTGTATATACTTGTTTTGTGTTGTTAATTTTTCAAGTAACTACAAACTAAAACAGGGTAATGAATTAGGTAAAATAAAAAGAGTACAGTACTCGATCAAACGTACTCCGTTACACACCAACTTTAGAACTTTAGTTAGTTAGGACATTAGGACATAAGCTTTAGTTTCAAAAGTTATAACAAAACTTTATTTGTGAAAAAGTCAGATACCCACGTAATTGAATTACATTCAGTCAGTGGTCTTGAATGCATATTTGTTATTCACATATCCATGTCTGGCTGTGTGTGTGTGTGTGTGTGTGTGTGTGTGTGCGTGTGTGTGTGTGTGTCAGTGTGCGGGGGCTTTAAACAGCTGGACTACGTTCAGAAGGTCCTGCTCCTGCAGACCGAGCTCCTCCATCAGTGTGTTCAAATACTTGGCTGACTTTGTCGTCTCCAAAGCTTCTCGTACCAGCGGAGACACCTCCGACAACCTGAAAACACAAAACACACACTGATTCCTGTGACACACACACACACAAAGACTAAAAAGGAAACATTGTTGTCTCTCTCTCAATTCAAGTGTCAATATTCCCGCAGAAACATGACATCTCCCATCTGAACAGAAACGGTGCCGTGAAATAGCGAATGAGCACAGATCAGCACCCCTGCATACACCCCCAAACCCTCCATAGACCCTCTGTCTGCCTCCCTCCCCTCACCGCTCCTCTTCTACCGGTCCCGTCTACCTGTGTGGAGGTGCACTGCTGGTTAATCTCCGGTTCACCCGGGGGTTTAGTGTTGCAGAGGGGGGGGGGGGGCATCCATTATTCAGCCGGGCTGGACAATAGCAGCCAAACGAGCTCCACAGCTGCCACGCAGCAGACAGATAAGGCAGGACGACAAATTATTCATGATGGAGAAATGGAAGGACGGAGAGGCTTGAAGTTAAACTGGAACTAATGAAATCATGGAGTAGTAGCGGGACGCAGAGGGACTCCAATGTAGACGCAGATTATCAAACACGGGTGAAATATAATTCAGCTGAAGAGACGAGGCATCCTTCAGGCCGTATTAAATGCAGCTTAAGTTAATTAGCTGAATTGAAATCTTTGGTTTTACACATTTCAAAATAAACTCAGCATCACGTGAAACCTTCAATCAGGTCAAAGCCTCCTTTTCTTCTCAGGCATTAGTCAAAAAACTATTTATCCCCAGATTACAATGAAAATATTACAGTGTTTATAAAGGGTATGCATTTGAGATCCACATCGTTCTAACCAGTATTCCAACCCAAACTACCCAACTGTTCACAACCGTCTATCGCACCATTTTATGTACGATTTTCAAGGTTCCCTTGACTTAAGAGTTATAGATCCGTGTTAACTACTGCATTCTTTTGTTAAGGTCCAGAAACCTCACAATGAAAATTATAGCACTGATGCAAACCGACCTTATGGCCACCGAGGGAGTCATAAATCAAAGTCAGCCCGGCATCAGGTGAAAGTTTTCCCAGCCGGGGCCATTTTAATGTGCCTTTCTCGGATGTATGAGCCATGTGTGTGTGTGTGTGTGTCTGTGTGTGTATTTAACTTGGACAGGACTGCCTGTGTGTGCCTTCTATACTGGATCACGGATCTGGGGGGGGGGGGCAATCAGGAGGAGATAAGGCCAAGAGACGTCGGTGTGTACTTAGGCGGGAGCAGCAAGGAACTGTCCTTGAACTGCCAGAAGCGCCCGTGCACGCACACACACACACACACACACACACACACACAGATATGGCCATATGGCTTGGGATAAAGCAATGCCACGCCACATTGCATATTGTCAAGAGCAGCATAAAGCTCTCAACTGTAAAGTTAATCCAACTCATAGTGGTTTGTTATTTTATTCTTTGAATGAAGAACATAAACTTGAAGTTGCTGCTTTGATTTGCGCATCGACCCTTCAGTCAAAAGCAAGTGTTTGTGCACATCTCTGAAGTCAGCTTTAGTTCCAATGTGTGAATCTGTGTCTTCATTAAAAGTTAAAAGAAGAATGGCGTTTATTTCGGTTTTGTTCATAACACTTTGTAAAAGTCCAAATTTCGTTGACTACAAAGCGACGCACACTCCCCGGCACTGAAGAACGGTGGTTTAGGAGTTTGCTGACTGGGTGTATTTCGTGGGAGGGTTGGTCCGTCGGCCCCTGGTTTTCTTGTCATACATTGTGTTATCTCTCCTCTACAACTAAAGAGCAGACTGTCCAGGTGTCATGGTGCGTCCCTCTGAAGACCGAAGTAACACATTCCCACACAGACACTCGCGCCCGACAACTTACAGATGGAGAAGCAAGACGGCTAAGAGGGTCCACTCTGTCGCTCTGTGGATGATGTTGGTGTTAGTGAGCCTGTGGATTAAGAATATAAAGAAAAAACACAACAAAACTAAAAGATAAGTAAAAGTCAAATAAGGGCATTTATCAATGAGTTGCAGATCAATCTAAAAACAGAATATATGTGAAGGTCTCAAACGGCAGGTGTCAAAAACCGTCAAGATTCTGATGATAAGTAAGCTAGAGAAACAGAATGTGCACAAGTCCGGACCGACCACCACAAACACCGGCTGCAATAGTCTTGTGATGTATGTGTCGGTGACAGAGCTGTGTATATTCTTTGGTTTCAGCCTCTTGTCAGCGGGGCCTCTGACGGCAGAAAAGAGAATTCCTGGAAGCTGAACCCTGGAAGTGTTACTCAGTACACAGTGATTTAATAGCACTTCTGTTGACAACATCCAAGCCAGCCAATAGGAACCCTGAGTACGTCTGGGGCAGGAATGTTCAGTTTTGGTACAAGTTTGAAAGATTTCTTAATAAACCGCTATACTGACTACTAGTGGGCAAGAAAATATTAATCCAATATCCATGAAGTAACAAATGTCACATTAAAATGGAGTTGCAAAGTGCAGCACAATAAATGTATTGTCTGTTTACCAGCTTAAGATCCAGCGTCCTGGTATTGTGTATTGTGCCGGTCACTGTCACGGCGTATTTAAATTAGCATAATAACATTGTTATTATTATTACCGCTTGCACTTTACCCGCTGTGCAAAAAGCACAATTACCAGTTTAGGAAGTTTAGTGATTCTTCATTTCTAAATGTCATGAAGGCACTGGTAAAAAGTACAGTGAAATGCAACATTTAAAATACACCAGCAAGTCAGAAAAGCACACGGCAAAGAAATACCATTAAAAAAATACACATGTGCAAATACGTGTAAAATGTGGTGCAACAATAAGCATTTGTCACAGCAAACATTTTGAATAATAACAATAAGGAAACGTGTTATAGTCACAGCTGTGACTATTTTACATTCATACCTCTGTAAGCAGCATGCACAATACGTAGGTATTGAAGCAAAAGCCTCTAAACACAATATGGACATAACTCCTGTTCAGCTAAGCTCGTCCTGCTATGACCGGTCAAGATGTCTGCTGTGTAAAAAACCTTCATAGAGGGTTGATGAAACTCTTGTTGTCATTTTTCATGTTTTCCAGTAAGAGGCAGCAGAGTTCTTCATCAGATCTACGCACAATGAAGTGGATTTCAAAGAGACAGTTACAGGTAAGAATAAAAGTGTTTATAATTTCTAATTTCACTTACATCTCAATGAGTTTAAGTAGGCAAAATGTTGCAAGTATTTTATTATTATAGCCATCTAAATTGAGAATAAAGCCTACATATGAAATATATTGCAAGATCTCTGTAACTCTGGAGTACAAGCATGTGTTGGTGTGAACCATGAAGCCCTGTCATCGTATTTTGTGTGTTCCAATATCCATAATACAGTGTGTGTGTGTAAACTTTTGCAGGCAAACCTGCAAAGAGTGTGTATTTGTGTTTACTGCACTGACCTGAATGTTCTGACCAGCTTGTTCAGGTCAGTGGAGAAGTCACTTATGTTGAGATGCAGCGGGCCGACAATGTTTCTGAGACTGCAGCGCAACAAGAGACAAGATGATGAGGGACTGAGACAGACAAACACAACAGAAATTGGAGCTTTTAATGAGCTAGGGATCTTTCACTAGATCCAACCAACGCTGAATCAGTCAAATTCGTCTTTAACTTTGTCTACTGTGAGATTTCTCTTTTCTGGCAAATTAAGAACACGTTTGAGTGTAGGGAGGTGGAGAGTCTGTAACCACAACTGTACAACAGAGGTTTTTGAGATGTGATTGATTATTAACAAAAAATGTGTGTTATTAGAACGACCTAAATACTAAATTATTGAACTATTGCAGCTATTGCCAACAACATTATATTGTGAAACCACACTAGTGCTCATAAAACCAGCAACATTAAGTCCTGTACCTGCACGACACAGAGTGCACCACACATTTTAATAAAACACACTTGGTTAAAGCACTCAGCTGGAAGAGAGAGAGACACACACACACACACACACCAGCTGGTGAGCTTCTCCACTGTGATTTTTTTCTGGATGACGTGCTGAGCGTGAGAGTCAACAAGCGGCAGAGCTGGGTCCTTTGTGCTCTGGTCCTGCTGAGGCAACAAACAAGATGCATTCGGTCTCAGTACAGAGACACACTTTATACGGATTCTCACAACTTACAACCCATCCTCTTTTGCCTTCACTCACCTTGCTTCCGTGCGGCTCCTCCACTTCCTCTGGAAGAACCCAGGTCCCTTGATAAAACTCCCTGACTCGTAGCTCCAGCTGCTGGGTCTCCTTCTGCAGCACACGGTAGTCTGGAGCTGCAGCAGATGGTCTCTTCTGCCCCACAGCACCAAACTCTGCTGCATCCTCATCGTTCACCTCATCCTCAAGGTCGTCTTCATCCAGTTCCTCCCCGGCCTCCTTATCTTCTTTAACATCGGCAATAGGCCAGCGTAGCGAATGGTCGGCACCATACAAGAACTTCAGGGTCTCGTCTGTGCTCCAGTCCTTTAACGTTCTCCTCAGGCACTCGAGGAGATTCAGCCGAAGGGAGTTGGGTTTGTCTGTGTGGTTTTTGAGTAATTCTTGCAGCCCTGCTGCCCCCCTCCTGCTCATACCCACCTGGGTGATGTTAAGGCCTGGCGGGCTGGTCAATGCAGCGTCGTGGCCGTCCAGATTCATGTTGCTCAGTTTTGAAGAAGGGAGATCTGTGCTTTCTGCCAAGCTGTTTGGGTCTTTACTTGGTGGAGAGGTGAGTAGATCCGTGTGTTCTGTTTGTTTGTTGTCCGCTGATAAATCAACAGGCTTCGGAGTACTATGAGGGACCGTCTCAGATAAATTGCACAAATGAAGTTTAGCTGTAGCCTTTTCCACACTAGGTTCATCCAGGAGGCCTTTCTCCTCTGGCACCTGTTCTCTATTAAGTTTATCTGGGTTTGATGAGTACAGCAGTTTTTCAACATCAGTTCCAACTTCTGTTTCACAAGATAAAGATTCCCGTCTATTCTCATCTTCCCTCATTTTTCCCTCCCCATCGGCACCTTGACTTCGATGACCCACAAGTTCCTCCTCATCACCGTCCCTCCTCTGTTTCGTTTGCATCTCTACTTTCCCACGATGGCTTTTCTGTTCATCTGTAAGTTTAGGCAGGTTGCCCCAGTGCACCCTGGGTCCCTGCCGTGGGGAAACCACACTGGAGACAAAGTCCTGCTCCTGCTCAATGTCACTGCTTTCACTGTGGCTGAGGCCGTCTGCAGGAGAATCCAGCTGATGAGCGTCCAGGGGTTGAGCAGCAAGAGGGTTCTCGACGTCCTCCTCTCTGAGACCCTTCGCCAACAGCATCACCTCCTCACCAGATATCCCGCTGGACACACACAGGGTAAACTTAATTTGGCTACACATTCATTTTCAAACCCATAATACATTTATAACATCACGTGAGCTGTATTCATTAATTAGTTGAATCAGCTATGATACAGTATGTTAGTATTTAAGATGTTCACCAAATAAAACACTAATACACACCCATCTCCTTTCTTCATCAATTTGATTTCTGGAGGACTGTCAGCAGGACAGAAAGTAAACACATAGTTTTAATATGTATCTATTGATCACTTGCTAGTTGTGATTTAGGACAGAAATGGGAACACACACACACACATACCTTTCATGCAGCCTGAGCCAGAGAGGTGTAGTCGAGATTTGCAGCTCAAAATCTTTCGAGGCTTTGTAGCAGAAGTTACTACAAAAACACTTATCACAAGAGAGGTATGCAAATGTGTTACTCTTTAATCTAATATACATGCATTTATAATTTTTGTTTATGGATCAATAAGTTGCACTGCTTACTTTGCGCTCGGTGATGTCATAAACTTTGTTGGTCTTAGTAGAAATGTTATACTTTTGAGTTGGTATCTGTAAAATGAGCAGTATCACAGTCAGAATAAAAACATCATGCATGAGGAATACAATGACATGCATAACGTAAATAGAACTGATATAAAAGGCTCTTACCTTGCCCAGTTTGTTTGAACATAAGGGATAGCCACACAGTTTTGCTATGGATCGCTCCTCTATAGTATCTTTGTAATTAGCAGGAAGAATAAACCATGCCTGTGAAGAAAGGACACAATAAGAGGACATTCTTTATCTGTTAACACGCTAGTTGAATGCTTAATGCTTAAAACTCAAATGTGACAAATGTTATACAATTTAGGGATGAGCCGTGGCTTTTGATATTCTGCAAACGTGACCTCAGATGAGACATACACAGTCAACCAGGAAGTCTTCATCCACACGGTCCTCCAGGAGACGCTCCACTACCTTCATGGCTCGTTTCTCCAGCTCCATCTTCTCCCGTAACGTCTCCCTCACCGCCTCCCTCCTTTCACATGGAGAAGTGTGGTTATTTGTTGACATGTATACAAATACTTTCTATTAAAGTCAATTAAAGGGAATATGCTGCACCCAAACCACAATATTTTAGCTACCTTCTTGCTTCTTCTTTGACGGGCTGTGATTGGTCGCATTTCCCACCTGTTACACAAACAACATGGTTTATAATAATAGGACTGTGCATCGCTCACCAAATAACATGCAGTACCTCACTGCTCTAGACCAAGAAACTAGTCCAAGAGCAACTTCACTAAATCATTTTTTACTGGTTCCTGATATCTGTTGGGCTGCAAATATTTTGAAAACCCCTAATATTAGTAATAGAGAACATCTTTTATAATGGGAATTAACCTTTTTTAGAGGTTTTAGTGGCGTTTCCGCTCCTTCTTCTATTCTCGGCCTCCATGTTGTCTCTGTTGTCAGCAATTTCAACTTTGACCTGTGACGTAACAGTACACGAGCCGACGGAAAGCCCAAGTGGACAAAATAGGCGTTCAGATCCGTCCCGTCAGGTTGCGTTAGCGTGGGGTATTTTTCACCGGGTCGTTTGGGACATGTAGTTCGCTGAGGTGGATATTTACCTTATTGTTGACCTGTTTATCGGTTGCATTCAATAGCAGTGTTTGTGCTCGTGTCTGAATAGCTAGGATAGCACATCGAAAGGTTTGTTTGTTTGTCTGTTAACGGCTAAGCTAACCTTAGTTCTGAAATATAACGTCAAATCAGTATTTACAACCAGGAGCCACTTTGTTATCAAGGGATATGTTGTGCATTCTTTTGACATGAAGTGTCCTGTTTGTCTTCGGGGGACTTCAGAGTGAAGATATACCTGAAAACAGCAGAGATGGCTCTGGAGCAGCTCAGTGATGTAGTCCAGAGATGTGTGAGTGTCTCGTGGGTTCATTTGTTTGCCTTAAGAATAACCACGCAATCAACCTGCTGCAGTGACACGTTTCCCCCCCTTTCCCCCCCTGCAGCAAGCCCTCTCCGATGACAGCTACACCCCCGAGGACCATGACGTGTTCTCGGTATCCGGGCGGACTTGCATCGAGGAGGGAAACAGTGCCCAGGTCCTCAGTCTTGTCCTGGATGAAAAGAATCAGGTACTCACAGCTGACCATCGTTTCACCACGTAGACCGTAAGCTTTGTGCACCGCACGAACGCACTGTCTGTCCCTCCTCCTGCAGGACATGGTGAGGTGTATGGGTTGGACTCTGCTGCCTCCTCTGATCCAGGTTCTGCTGAAGAAACGAGATGAGAAGCCTTCTCCGTGCCTTGCCATTTTCAGCCACCTGCTACAGGTTTCTTTTCCCGCTCAACAGTTTACAAAACAACCGTTAGATCGTAACGCATAAGATATAACGCCAGTTATGATCCAGCTGACCCAGATGTTTTCATAGAGGCTTACAGTCTTGTTTGTTAGGATGAAATGGTTCGTTTAAGGGTTGGTTGTGGTTCTCCAGACCTGCAGACCCAAAGAGCTGCTGATCGGCTTGTTGGAGCAGCTGGAGCATGAGGACCCTGACACCATAGCAGAGAGCCTTCACCTGCTATTGAACCCCCTCCAGAAAGGTCCGCAACATTCCTGATTAATAGTCCAATATGAAAGCATCACACGTGGACTCGAGTTAAGCCATTTCTATTCGGTCTGTGCTTTCCTCTCAGTGTTGCTGTGTCTGGGCAGCCGTAAGGCGTCGTCACTGGGCATGACCCTGTCCTCCGTGCTGGACCAGCTGGCCAAACTGCCTCTACCTCACACCAAGGAGCAGGAGGAGGACGACGTCTTCTCCCTTTGTCGCTGCTGCACCGACCTGATGGCCTTTGTCAAGCCTTTCGTCCACGAAACCAGGCAAAACCTCCTGAGCTCCGAGAACACAAACAAGAAGGCGGGTGAGCAGGGCGGAGGACGAGCTGCGGAGGACGAGCTGCAGACCGAACTGTTGAAGTTGTGAGTGAGACATTTTAATATTTATACCGTCGTACCTTCAGTACGAACTCCAAGCACTAGTGCCACGCACAACTCCCTTTTTGTTTTTACGTTCTGCAGCTCTATGAAGACTCTGAGTCACCCGCTGCTGGAGTTACAACTCAGGGATCCAGACACTCTTGCCGTGTCTCCCCTCAGGGACTTTGCCACAGAGATTTTGGTACGCCAAAAACATTCTGCGTAATAATCTGGGAACCCTGTAACTTTAATGTGAATGTTACGATGGGTCCTGCCAATTTGACCGGTTTGTACAGTGATCAAAATTTTCATGGGCCGATGCCGGACTCACATTTATTCGTATTGACCCCGTCAGATGTGTGATAGTAATTGTGAGTTTGTTGTCTTTGTGCGTTGTTGTACAGAACACCCTCAGGGCTATAGGAGAGTCCGTCAGCAGTCTCGTGTTCCAACCTCTGTTAAAGAGAAAACAGGTTCTGGGCTTTCTGGAGGAGGAGGTGCGATATCCCAAGGAGTCCTTGGCAAGCCTGGCTCACCTGGTGTTTGTCCACCACCTGGCTGCGGATTCATTCCCCAGCGTTTTCAGGTAAAATAGGTGCTAGTATCTATTATCATAAAGCACTGGCACACGATAAACTGCACGTTTATCTTCAGGCGTCACTCGACTTCAGCGTCGGTCAATACTGACGATGATTCGAACTGTTTGAACACTTGTTCAAATGCTATTCAGAGTGCAAATGCATCGTTAACGCTCTCTGTGTTCACAGTTCTGTGTTCTGTCTTCGGTGTAATATGGAGCACGTTTGCCTCCTCTTGTCCAGGTGAATACACAACAATATTTCATCTGTTCTGTGCCGCTGCACCGTTGGCATGTTGGTGTCAGTTGGCTTAACAACACCTATAATGGATCATTTTGTTAGTTTGGTAGTTCATCAGTAACATAAGTCATTGATGTTGGATCACATTTATAAAAGCTTTTTTACATTTACAATTCACATGAATATTGTCGTATATATGAAGTTTGTTTGTCATTCGCAAATATATTTAAATAATAATAATACATTATTTTAAAATATATTCTATTGACAGAACTGAGGAGTCGAGGATCCAGAAAGGACTGGTGAGTCAATCTGAAACATTTAGTTTTAATAACATTTACAACATGGTGTAGATTTGTATTGTAATTTCCAGATATTTGTCGATTGGTTGTTTGGTGATCGTAGTCACGAGTAATAATGAACACAAATGGTGATTTCTTGCAACTCGCAAGACTTTTGCTACCGTCACGTGACGGTTATCTGTTCGTTTCCGAGCTTCAGTAGTCCGGCGCACAGAACGTGTGTGTTCTCCTTCACACAGGAGCTGTATGAGAAGAGTCTGGTGCGCTTGGAGGACGGCAGCCTGCCTGCTGATCTGCTGCAGATCAAAACCTTCCTCACAGTCCCTCAGGTGACCACAGTTCAGCACACGCAGCTGCTGAGATTCTCACAGACTGATGCACTAATCATGACGAGTTATTGATTTCACATTTTTGTTTTTCAGAACTTGGTGAAGGTCATGACGATGTGTCCTCAACATGATTTGGTAAGCTTAGCAGTAGTAGTAGTATTTGTAGGCAATGTTGCACTTGGGCTCAAAAAATGTGCTTTTGGAGGAAAGATATTCTGAGATATTTGCTTCTTGGTCAACAGAGAACCAGAGGTCTGAAGGTTTTGCAGCTGAGCATCGATAAGTTTGACACTGAAGCAAAATACAACTTTTTCCAGTAAGTTTTTTAAATATTTTTTTATTTAAAGTTTTTCAGAATGGTCTCTCTCTCTTCCCCCCTCCAGCATGTTGACTTTTAGTCTTGTTTCAGGTACATGCTGAAAACCAGTCGTCACTCAGGAGTCGAAGGCTACATCATCAAAAACATCAAGGTTCAGATCGATGCTGCCCTTCAGGTGAGATGTTGTTCATCTTTTCCTGAAGGTTGTTTGCTCTGTTGCTTTCAATCTATTCTGGTTCAATACGACCTTAATGAGTGGCGTGTACAGTGAAAGTCTGTCTGTCCGTCCTCAGCCAGGGAACAGTAACGTCTGGTTTGAGGGGTCGCAGCTGCTGCCTTTGCTGCGGAAAGTTCTCAGTCTGCCAGACGGCCCAGAGACCGACCTCCTGCAGTACCTGGACAGGTCAGCACACAATAAACATCCCATCTATCGCTTTTTTTTGTCCCCCTTATCTACCTCACTGAAAACTATCCCAGCATGCATTGGGGCGAGAGGCACTGTTACAGTACATGTAACCAGTGTGAGTCAGTGTACCGACGCCTAAATAATCATAAAAACCCAAAGTGAGCTTCCTGCTCTTGGCAGCAGCAGACGGATCGATGTGCGTCGCTTAAAGGTGAAGTGTGTAGGTGACGCAAAACATGAATGATCATATGAATGTTTAACTTTAGGGCAACAAAAACACAATTCTTAGTTTTAGGCGATTTGAAAAAAGAATTCTTCCAATAGACAGCCCTAAATGCTTCCCACTGTAGCTTTTTAATTAATTACCCAAGTCTGTCATAAATAAATAAGCTAAAATGTTAACGAAATGGTCACGGTATGAAGCGTTGACGTTCTTCATAATGAAGTTGTATGTAAACATGATGAAACTTTTATTAAACTAGTATTTCATCACGTAAAAAATTAGAAATGACTTTTTCTGTGATCCCAACTTTTCAAACTATTAAAGGCTCTTATTTGAAAGAATCTGCGAATGTGAGTGAGTGAACCTCGCGGCAGGATTGCTTCATCGCAGTGCTGTCTTGTGTTGTTTGACACAGAGTCATGGAGTCTCTGAACCTGCTGCGTTACCTCGTCATCAGGGACAAAGTGACAGACAACCAGGTGAGCCGTCCAGCAAACATCAGGGGAGACCAAAAGCAGCAATACTGAACCATGGTTTGATTTACTTCATTTATTACGTTATCTGCCGTCTTGCAGACGGGGATCTGGACAGAACTGTATAAGATCGAAGACACGTTCCTGAAGCCGCTGCGTGTCGGAGTGAACATGTCGAGAGCTCATTATGAGAGGGAGCTCCACGACACTCGGGCGACCAAGAGGGGCAAAGCTAAAGGTCAGAACACCACTCGCCTTTTTTTTTTTTTTTTGCAGATAGAAAAACTCGAATGAAAGCTTCATGTCAGATGATGTTACGAATGACGAATCTATGAATGTGTTTTCCACAGAGGAGTCTGTGATTTCTGTGTCCGTTGGAAGCGAGAAGCTGCCGAACATGACGTCAGATTCCCAAATTCAGGTTGGTGACTTTCACGTCCGCATGACGGCGCTGATCGTGTGTCTGTGCGTCACCGCTGGCCACCGACCTGATTGCTTTTCTAACGTGTCCGTTTCAGGCCCTGCACTCGGCCCTGCACACCTTCGACATGATCGAGAGCGTGTTGGTGCGAATAGAGGAACTCACCGCGGGGAAAGAAAATCTTTAGACCGAGCACAAGTTTTTATACCAGAGGTCCTCATCCCCTCGTGTTTTTTGTTTTGTTTTTCTTTTGTAAAAAAATAAATGGTGTCCTGAATTCACGAGTCTGTTTTATTGGCGGGTTAGTTTCAAATGTTTCAGCATCTATCGAACATCCCTAAAAATGGCGGCAAAGTTTGTACCGCTTCTGTAATAAATGCAAACTGTTGTACACACACACAAGTTAAATGGAAATTCCCACCAATGTAATAATTACAATAGCATTAAGTTATGAAATGTAGGCGTAAATACAGTGAAAGATATTTCATACTGAAAATGAATTTATTAAAAACAGCCAAACTTGAATGAGTCAGACTTTACATTCAACGTTTTATAAATTAACCATTCTGAAGAAGACAAATTCATACTCAAATAAAATGCACCTTTAAATTTAAATTAAAAGCTATTTAGAACCTTTTGAAATCGCTACATACAACACTGATATGAGGTTATGGCAGCGTTGACAATAGTGATTATCTGTACTTTTCCTTGTTGACAAGACCATATCCAGACCACAATATGAGGCCAGACTCGTCTCACACCAGACAGCAGTGATAACAAGACTCCTTAAGTGTTATTTTCTTCTTCCGTTGATCCCTGAGATATAAAAGTACAGAGGGTAAAAGTTAAAAAACAAAATGATCAGACAGTGTGCAGCTGTAACTGGCTGATAAATGTCTTCAAGGGAGGTCAGATACCTTCTAACACAAAACTGTTCAACCCCGGACACAAAAAAGCCAAAGTCTGCCAGTTTAATGCCTCGAGTCAGCGCTCTTCCAGTCCGGGCGTTATCCAACAACGCATATCAGAGCCCTTCATCCATCCTCAATGTACTTGAATGAATGGTAACTATTGACGCTGAGGCCGGCCGCGTCACAGGTCTTTGAACAGCGGGTGCTGCAGCGCCTGAGCGGCTGTGATCCGGGTGGCAGGGTTGAGGTCCAGCAGCCTGTCCAGCAGTTTGTAGGCGTCATCTGGAACACTGTCCCAGCCCTGCTCGTCTTGCTCCACCTTGCAGTTTTCCCTTCCAGTGGTCTCCGTGTCCCCCGAATGCTCCCCGTGGTTTGGGGGAGGAGTGCAGAGAGACTGAGGACCACCAGCTTCTTCTTCCCTCTGCAGGGGGCGGCGTGTGGGCGCGGCGGAGTCTTTGTTGGCTGCGCGAAGCGGCGTGACTCCATCGTCTGGGGACGTCCTCCGTCCTCTCAGCGTCTCACACAGCGTCCTGAGGTCCTGCCGCGGCAGCACCCGGCTGGACGCCACTGCTTTACCTGAATGTTAATCCCAAAAAACAGGCTCATTAATCTACTTCTACTCTACGGTTCAGTTCTGCTACGTCCGTACAGAGACTGTCTGCTGTTGATCACATTGCGGAATGTGAATACGCACCAAAGGCCTTGGCAGCTTTGATGGTCTCTCTGGAGCCTCGTATGCTCATAATCTGAGTGAGGGCGATCAAGTCATCGCTGGCTTTGAAAAACGGGTAGCGGCCACTGAGCAGCGAGAGCAGGATCACACCAGCAGACCACACATCTATAGCTGCGGGGCACAAGGACGAGACGGGAGCGGATGCAACATTAGTCACAACTACAATGTGCGTTTTTGGCAGGAAATGCAGGTAGCTGAAGTTGCAAATCATTAAAGAAAACACAGATTTGGATCCAATGATCAGCGAACAGTTTCTGCATATTTCTGGCATCCTTCAATACTGCATGTTTGAGTTCAGCAGCATTTGAGTATCATCAATCATTATAGTCATGGTCTGAGGTACAGACCTGTTCCCTGGTTGGGACACTTTGTGAGGACTTCTGGTGCTCTGAAGCCCGGCGTTCCGGCTCTGGGAGCCACCTGCTGCTTCCTTCATTCATAAAAAACAAAGCAGTGGTTTGAAGTCATTTTAGTCAAGCCAGATTGACATTAATCATAAAGAATTATTGTACATATGGTGCGGAAGTATCTCTTGATGATTTGTCTGTTGGTCTTTGTTACCTGGACATGCAGATGTTGCAGACGCGGTCGGTCAGGTAGCAGCTACAGGTGAGGCCCTGCTGTACGGTCCTCTGAGGCCTCTGACTGAGGCTCTGGGTCCTGACCGGCAGCGGGACTCGGTTGCCTGACGACAACCTACGGCCGGCGGGGTCCTCTGTTCTGCTGGGTTTTACCACCTGGACCAGAAGCAGTAAATATCAGTACACATGGTACCAATCAAAAGGGGTTTTCTTCAGAGCGAATGTTTATTTGTCTTTTCAAAAAGGTCTTGAGAAACTTTTGAATTCTTCCAAAAATGTGCTTTATACCTTGCTTGCCTCGGTCTTTGTGACTTGTTTGGCAGTAGATAGAGTTCGAGTGCAGCTGTTCAAATTCCTCTCTCCAAACACAGGACGGGGCACCTTCCGTAGCCGAACCAAATCCTACAGAAAGCCAACATGGATGGAAGAATTTAGCTTAAGCCCAATACAGTAGCACCATATAGTACAGTAAACACATGCTTTGATACAACCATACAGGAATTCGGCTAGTTGTGACAAAATAAAGTGTAATAACACCAAATGACGGCTTTTCAGCATTCACTGGACAAAGAACAGACCAACAAACACCAATAAATGTGAAGAGGACACCTTTGCGTGCTTTGTGCGAGAGGTGCTGACGGTGGTTGTGACCGAGCGCGCTTTTTTAACCAGTGCTTTCTGAGCGGCTGAGGAGGACGCGGTGGTGGATGAAGACGACGAGGAAGGCGCTAAGTTTGTGGACTGCTGTGCAGGTAAAGGCAGGGCAGCTGAGGCTGAGGTGGTGCTTTTGGGTATCAGTCTTGGTGGTGCTTTGCTCCGCTGTGTGGGGTCTTGGTTCCCTGTGGACCCTCCACCTTTTTGTGATGCCCTCTGCCTCACTACCTTCAGCATTTCAATGTGCGTGTCCGCTGTACCCTGAGCCAGGCCGAAGTCCACTAGCGCATACCTACACACACACAATTATTCCCATTAATTAATAACTTTACACCGCACACAAACTGCACAGACGGGTGATAATCTTAAGTATTAAATAAAAGGTGAATGGTAAAAGCCTCCTTTATTACTGAGGGACGCCATTACTCACATTCTGCTGTTCCTGTTGTAGAGGAAATTGTTTGGTTTGATGTCTCTGTGAATGATACCAAACTGGTGGATGTGTCTCAGGGCCGTCAACAGGTGATAGATGTACAGACGGACTTCTTCGAAGCTCAGTGAGCCAATAATATCCTGATGAATGAATAAGATGTTTTAAATGACTTTTCAGCAAACAAGGACCTGATCAAGAAAGCTACTAAATGTAGCTTATGTTATGAGTATTACATTACAGATTGTATCATTACAAGAAACTAATGTGTAACATTGTACATACCACAATAGCTTTGTGCTCCATATAGGGCATCACGATCACTACGTGATCCTCCTTCCTGAAGCAATACGTCACTCCGATCACATTCTCTCTGCCTCTGAAAAGACAAAAAAAAAACTTTAAATCCGTTGATGTTGTGAATCTCTCTGTGACAATGACCCTCTTGATCGGTTACTTTAACCATTTTATGATTAAATAGAAATGTACATTCGTATAATCAAAGGAATGCATTGCCAAACAAGCCATCAGCGTATCGATGCTTGTAATACACAACTTGAAGCGCACACAATTTTGCCGCAGCATAAAAATATCCTTTAACAAATTAGAATCGACAGTTTTGAAACGAGTTTGATTTGCTATTTTAAAAACTTGTGAGACCACAACTATTACATGGACAACGAGTAGACACTGTAGGAAGTCTGTACATCTATAACTGCAGCGAATACAGTAGTTTGTAGTTACAGCTGTTCAATGTTTAAAAAGGTAGCTTAACTTTCATAAAACACACAACAGTCCCGGACTCACCCGGCAACAGTGAGGCACTGAAGCTCGGCGGCGATGCGTGCAGGATGGCTGGTTGGGATGAGGTGCTTCAGGGCGAACATCTCTCTCCTCCCATCGAGCATCTGAGCCTCACCCAGGAACACTGAGCTGAATGTCCCTTGTTCACAGAAACGCAGCGTGAACACACACACAAGTCTTCTGCGCCGCTAAAACTGTATCCACCTTTGAACAAAAGATTATCTTACGCGTATACTTGCAAACTCTCAAAGGTGTGTATGAATTTAGGCCGGGCGAGTACCTTCTCCAATCTTGTCAGTTATGCGGAAAACCTTGGCCAGCTCAGGGACGGCTTTGTAGAGGATCCCGATCTCTATTTCCACATCACCTGGAACAAACCAGGAGAAAATGTACAGTCGCACAACACACTTTTGTGCACAAACTCAAGTTTGCAAAATAACTGCATGCGTTACAATTTTACAACCCTACATGTTATAACGTGAAGTTGTTTAAGATGAAAGTTTTTTGTATTCTTAATAAAACATTTGTAAAAAAAAAAAAAAAAGGACAAGCTGCTAAAATCAAAATGTAAAATCAACACAAACTGTAAACATGACAGTACATATAATAATGCCTCGTTCAACTCAAATATTAACGTCACCCCAGAACGTTTGTACGATGTGTTGCGTCGTGGTGTTTTTATGTCACAAAGGGGCAACTTACTTGAGACTTTGCGTCTGCCGGCAGCTCTCTGTGATTGAATCACGCGTCCTTCTGTGCGGATCCCTTCAGCGCACACAGGGAACAACTCCATCTACATGAAGAGAGACGATTATGAGACTGGCAACTTAACTGGAATATGTTACGGGGAGCTGTACATGTTTCCAATAACTTGCATGTCATATTAACTTGGAAAGAGATGTTGAGGTTGATATTCTATTGACTTTAGTTGTTGTCAGACGGATTGGAAGTCTTGCCGTTTGTCATCCGCGAGGCAATAAAACTAACGTTAGCATGCTAGTGCTCGCTAGCGTCTCTCCAGCTAACGTCAGCGCAAAAAGACCCAAAAACAAAAAGACACTCACCGCTTCAGTTGGCTGTAAAGTGCAGCAACGTTAGTTTTCAAACAACAACGTTTGAAAATAACATATAGTCCTGAGCTAATGTGCCATCGACCGCAGAATATAAACGCCAATATAACGGAACTGTGGCTGAATATAATAGTTTGTTAAGCCTTTCGGACTTTTTCCGCCAACAAACTCGGCGCTAAAAGTGACGTCACTGAAATCTCGCGTTACATCAGCAAAAGTCACGCGGGATCAAAGTCTACAGGAAGGAGGGCGTGAATGAATCAGATTATCAGGTTCAGTAAGTAAAGTGTAAAGACTGCGGTCCAAATGTACGCCACGGAATAACCAAATCTCCTTAAAATAGCTTGACAGATCACTAAATGTACATTAAATAATCACCAAATTAAAACATAAAAATTAAAATAATTTAATTTCCTTCGTTTTTGGTTGGTTTATATTTATAATATATTTCGCCATCACTAAAAAAGGTCAGGTTGCCACGTGCCTTGAACCCCACTGAAAGGTCCAGAGATTAGTTGGTGTGCAAACTAACTTCCACAGCAGGCGTTCATGCTTCAGACTTTAACCATTAGGTGGACGACCAGTTTTGCGCCTTTACTTGTAGTTTACCAACTTATTTGTGTAAACAGTGTGTATCTGTAACATTGGAATTTTTATTATATCAAATAGATTACAACGTACCCTTAAAATATGTACTTCGTGATGAACTTCCCCCATCGAAGGATGAAGACAGCTGTGCACATCTCATTAATTCAAAACACCAAAAATACATCACGAAGCTATATCTCATTAAACTACAACTTCTTGTTGATTCACTCCCAAAGACTGACTCATTCAATCAACACAGATTTTATTAATAAATAATCAAATACAGAAATGACCATAGTAACAATTAGAACTAACGGTAGAAACACTATAAATCTTTTTCATTTACAATATGAACGTACAGCAACACGTCTTTAAGACAAAGTCATAAAGACTTGTAAAGCTCACCAGTTAACACAATATGAACAATGACCAAAAACACTTTATGATGACATTTCAGTTAGACAAGCAGTACTTCTAAAATATACCATCAAATATCCCAAGGAAAGCTTCCTCTTCTTTGCATTTAATGCTGTGAATGTGAACCAAAATATGGAGAGGGTTAATCAGGAATATATTGAAAATGATTCATGCTTTGCATTATGTTCTTGAAAAAGAGTAATGAATTAAAATTGCAGCATTATTGGCGTTATCATTTTTTTCTACCTTCTGCTGACAGCTGAGTTGGTGTTGGATGGGACGCTCACTGTTGAGAAGAAATCAAGCCCTCTGGGAAGTGGGGCCACGTGGGCCTCAGTCTGCTTTTGGAGAAATTCTTGTGCTTTGACTGCGATCTCCTCTCTGAAAGCTCCTGATCTCTGCAAAAGGAGGAACGGGAGGCAAATGTCAGATATGCCGATCTAAATAGTTTGACAGAACCTTTTGACTTACCTTAACCCGGGACTCTGTTACCATTTGGCTACTATTACGTCAACCAGATAGACTTTGCTGCTGAGGTTATATTAGATTCTGCAATTCAATTAATAACATTAATTACAGCCCTGCTTCATTTACGTAGGTTGGCCACACCTTGGTATTGTTCAATGCAGGATCACTAGAATGACCGGGACATACTGCATTGAACAGGAGCATAATTAATTGAATCAATTATACTGTACTGTTGTGTCTACTCTGTACTTTCGAACTCAATTGTGTCTCTCATGAACCCAGAATAATATTAATTAGGCTAAACAAATCAAAAAGTCTAGTCGGCAACTTTGTATATAACAGTATTAAACTGTACATGAAGCACATGCATAGATGTCTGCACACACACACACACACACACACACAGACCTTTTCATTCCAGCCGAATGTGCTTCTGTTCAGAGGTCTGACTGTAACCAGTGAGGGTCCTTGATCTCTGACTTCAGGAAAAACTGACCTAAAAACAAATAAATGATGTGATGTATATATGCCTTGACTCAAATATAAAATATCTTTTGGGAGGAGATTTGTTTTATTTCACACATTACTTGATCCTTGTTCTTACACCTTAATCGGAGATGCATTTAGATAACTGGCTTTACCTCAGTGGCGTTCTGGCTGCGGTTACACAGGGTTTGACTTGTGAGTGATCAAGGAGCACCGGCGCAGATGTAGCAGCAAAGCCTACACATGAAAAACAAAGGTGAGTAATAAAAAAAAAAATCATAACGAAGATTGACAAATAATACCACGCAACCATGCCTGAAGTGGAGCACGTATTCCCTCGACCCGGCATGTAGCCGAGACACTGGTGGACTTCAGGTTGAGCGCCACTTAGACACACGTCCAATGGCATCTCGCTGGCATGCACCAAGTTCTCGTCATCAAAGTCATCCCACTCGTTTCCAAGGTCGAAGCTGATCGTCGGTATTTTTGAGAAAGAAGCATTTACGCAGTGAGCGCCGTGGTTTGTCACGGCAGCCGAGCTGGTTGTTTGGATCCGGCTTAGAAGCGGTTTCTGGTTGTGACAAACACTGACTCCTGGGTTCATCCACATGGAGGAAGCTAAACACAAATTAATTAAAAAAACAAACAATGAATACACAATCAAATGGTGCTGCACTTTGAACCTTCTTGGACTCAATCAAATATCTTGAGTTTTTAAAGACCATGTGTTTCTACCTTTCACTACAGACCTATTGATATGTACAATATCATTAAGTGAGTGCTAATATTACATACACTGTGTTGAAAAACAAATTGTTCTGTCTCTGCAAAGTTCATGTAGCATAATTTGCCTTCTGACATGAACAAAGTTGCGTTTCTATGAATCTCCATCCATCCAAACTTCTGAAATCATCCATTTAATTTTGTCAAATTACATTTTGTCTACTTATTAATGTCTTAAACAAATGCCCATTACATGCGGTGTATTACAATATGTCTAGTCTTTACTTTGTCTTTCTGGCATATGGCAAAGATGATTTACCGATAAAAATAACTAAGAGCAACTGAAACTGCGATACAGTGCACGCTGAATATAATTAATTTCTAGTCAATGCGCTTAAACACTCTAAACAACCAATAAGGTCTCTTTTAATTTGACTTACATGTTTTATCAATAATCTGATGTCGAGCATGCGATGAAACCGGTGCAGGTACAGGTACAGGCTCCTCCATCATCCCGGTCGTGTCCTCGACGTAGTCTTCATAATCTGAGTACAAGATACCGAAACATACATTCACAGATCCTGTGATTGCTAAATCCTACAAAGTTGGGCAATGTGTTCAGTTCAGAGTCATCATCTTTAATTTGTTTACTACTGTCAACAAAGTTCAGATGGACAACGTCTGGCTCTATCTGGTCTCCTGTCAGATCCACAATGTCAACATGTGGTCCCACTGAAGCTTGACTTCCTTCGTACCTTCAAATACATTAGAAATTATACATTAGGACATGAAATTGTCAGTGTCACGACTTTTAAACATGTTTTGTTGTCACACTTTCTCATAATCTAATGTGCAGCAGTTGTTGAGGGATTTATTCTAATATTTGCACAGAGGATCAAAGTCTAAAATGCCAGTGTGAATACCAGGAAGCTGTAGGTAGCCTCTCTTTGGGTTTGTAGGCAAACTCCTGGATGTCAACAGGAACAGAGTAGTCACTCATTTTTATCTGAGGAAACAAAGCAAAACACGAACACAGAATTGTTGGGTTTAGTAACACAGAAAAATTGAGTTTTAATGAACTTACAAACAAACAAGAAAGACGCTTTTTAAGTTTGTTACAAAAGAATAGTTATTACCGTTAACACTAATCACCAACCTGCACATTGTACACCTTATAACTAAATATTACATTTCTAAAGAACACATTTGCATGCATGGCATTTGTTATATCATATAATAGAATATAAATGCTCTTCACGTGTAATTATGTCACATATGTTGTGCTGTTGCATTTGGGCTGGTATATCCGTTTCAAGCAGATCTTCACCAGTGGTGAATTAGCAGAGATTCTTCAGCTTTTTCTACCGACAGGTCAATACCAAGTGTTTTTTGGAGAATAAAATCTTACATCAGTGCACTTTGCATTACATCCTGGATGAGGTTTAGTACAGCACGGCCTTATAATAATCACAGACTACATTCAATTGGGTGTATTTATTTCAGTTCAACATAGCTTTTGTCTGTGTAATGTTAAGTGAATATGATGCAAGGATCGACAGGCCTGAGCAATCATGTATGTGTCCTTCCTCACCTTCAGCCGTTTGACAGGAGTCTGTGAAAGTGTGTCACACCTGTTCCTTAGGTCTTTCAAATAGGAAGAGAAACTGGACTCCTGATTTGCGGGCCTCTTCTTTGCCACAGCCACACCCACTTTACCTTGAGAGAAGAAGGAAGAGAATCTTGACTGCCAAACAAAACGAAGCACAGGTGCACAAATGTGCACAGTAAGAGACGCATGCAAACAGTGAAATACGACCGACGGTACTCACAGCAGTCGTGGCCACAGAGATCCTTATTCTTGCAGTAGTGGTTGCATTGTCTCTTGTTGCCTAAATCTGGTAACAAAGTTGTCACATTCCATGAGAAAAAAACATGTCTCAAATATCCACCTTCCTTGGAAGATGTACAAAATTGATATGCACTATTTAATATTTCAGCCATAACTAAATCATCAGTGAAACGGTGCAGTGCCTTGTTCTGTAGCAGATGTGGCGTTTTCCCTGTGACCCGCGGCCTGATCTGTAGAATGTGGTTTCAGTGCGGCGTGCTGAGGTCTCTGTCCCGTCGGATCAAAAGGTGTGTTGGAAAGAATTTCATTTCCAAACCTCCTGGCTCCAGAGTAGTAGACGTTAAACCTCTGCTGGATGTCCAGGCCCACTATGGGAGAGAAAAGGCCAAAGTAATCAGTAAATGGAAACCCTTCACAGTGTTTATGGGCAGTCAAGTTCAAGAGTCTGAAGCCAGAACATTCAAAGAGTTGTACATTAAATATGAACATTTTGAACTTGACAGAAAAGTGCCGTAACTTTACTTGTGTGAATGCATTTCCATGTCTCACCATATTGTGAGCTGATGAGATTGACACTGATCTCCTCTCCTTTCGAGGCCTTTGCCACCTCAATCTTCTTTGACCAGGTGCCACACTTCAGCAGGACCAAGTCCCTGGAAATAAACAAGAGGCCGCACAGCTGAAATTCAATCTGCTGTGTATCCTTAAACCAGGTTCTTTCTTGAAGTTTTGTTTTCCTCACGTGAGTTTCTGTAGGAAGACCACAGCGTTGTCAGAGTTTCCGATAATCAGAGAGATATAGTGGTCGTCAGGAGCCGTTCTCCTGGACAGCAGCTGT